CTCCTTTCAAAGTTTGTGGAATCACAGCGCTTGCCCTCCCCCGAGAATGAGCGGTTTTCTTTCTCCACCATTCATTAAAATGCTTATTTATAACGCCCCAATTTACAAATTCCTGGGGAACACCCCCTCCTACACCCCAGCTCCCTCACAAAGTGCCCCCTAACTTTTGAGAGCCTGTTGACATCATTGTAAAAGACCGGTTAACTAACATATTCAAAATGTTATGCATACTTAATAAACAAACGTTATTTTTGACAACTTGAAAGCTTGCCCGACAAAGCAACAAGTAATGTATGCAGACTGCTGGATTCCAAGTATAACTCGTCACTATAGGTCCCCAGGAAAGAAACGTCCATACGTTTGAATGTGTTAGAAAATCTTTCTATGAAATATAAACATTTAATTTTCGACAAAATATTAGATTAATTGTATTGGCTCTTATTATATTTTCATGCCATGCATACAGGTACTGGATGTTACCGCAATAATGGTTATTATCATTAGAAATGGACTTGAAGCAACTTGGCGACACTAGCCTGTATTAAGTCGAGACACTGGACTTTTTTGTGACTGCATTCAACCAACTTCGGAATCCAACTATCATCACTTCGGCATAACTATAATTATCAACTTTGAACTGGATAGAAGGACTGAGTGTGATTATCATTTCGATTGGATTTTCTACAACGATTTGATTTTTCTGGAACACAATTCGACATTTAGGACACAGGATCATTCTGGGAGTCAACCGACTTTTAATTCCAACTATCATCTGCAGTATCAAGTTCGAGTTCGAAGGTCCATTTTCACTGTAGGAACAGGACCTCCAAGTTAATAAACAGCTTCAAATTAAATCGCTTATTTTGCCAATTTTCAAACATGTATAGATCTCCAAGAGGACATTTCGACGCGTGCTTCAGAATCCGACATAATTATATCGACAGATATGAAAACGGATGGTAATAAGATTCGAACTAATGAACCATTCTTTCAAATATCATCATTGACTGAGGAAAGCATAATCAGAATCTTTTACTGAACTCGCCAAAGCCATATGTCGGCCCGACTGATTCGAACCTTGCACAAGGTTTGTTGATTGGTCTGTGCCGCGCAGAAAGGCTTTCAAGATAAAATGCAAACTTTAACGATTTCTACTACCAAAAACAGGATATGGAATTATATAATATTGGACCTGAATCGACCATCGCCTGAGGAATTCGATTGGATCATATTTATTGAGTGTGCAAGGAAATATTTTTGGATGGAAAGTCAATCATTTGGATTATAACCCTGCCTGCTTTAACCGAAGAATGCTGAGACTGAACCAGTAGATGTCGAGGTTAGTGAAGGTTGTCTGTAGAGAATTCAGCAATATCACTTGTGATCTTAATGGAGCTCTAAAATTCAATGAGATGGGTCAGGATTGGTTTGAGCTTGGTCAAATCTAAACGTTAGGACAACATTGATACACATAGGCCCCTTAATTAATATAAAAGTAGTGTAAGGGCCTAGTTTTAATCTATCCTAACCCATCTCAGAAAATGGCAGGGTTCCATATCACGAAGATTGTTGGGTTGGAAATTGACAACCTATAAACTTCCTAATAGTTTGCGAACACGTTTTTCCGACATCGAAATAGAGGCAACGATCTTCAATCGAATGGTACTTGTGTCAAAAGAATCATCCATCAAAATTCAACAAAGATAAGTCAAGGTTCTCTTCTTTGGTAAGATATTATTGCATCTCCTTTTTTTAATTGGAAATATTACATTATGTATACTCTTACCTTGATATTTGATTTCAAGCTGATTGTATTAATATATAGCCTAGGTATGTACATTACCATAGTCGGCATTGATTTGAGATTTCGTGAAATAAACATTTTAGACTAAATGAATATTATTTTTAGATTAGTGTTATAAAATAATGTTACATAGCATTGATTTGCATTATCAAATTGACCAAAAAAATAAATCGGAAATCGTAGACTCGTGTCTCTCCTGGCTGTAATAATAATGCAAATCAATGTCTAGGCTATATGATACTGTACCGATATCAATGGATTTGTGTAGAGTATTATTGCACAATAAAAGTAAGGCAGGGATAATATGCTATGCTCAATTATGCTATTATGCTATGTTTACAATGCTTTTAATATATAACTTATGGAATTTATTCAAAATATATAATCAAAATACTACGATTGAAAATATATTTCAAAGATATAATCGTAATATTTAAATTCTAGCATTAGAAATTCATAATTTATGATTGATATTTGATAAATGATAATATGAATAAGCATAGATCTATAATAGGAAATTTAGAGTATTTTGTAGATACATTAGACATGAGCAATATGCTTAATGACTGATTTGGTAATTGATAATCGATATTACGTCGAAGCAGGATAGAAGTATGAAAAGTCATTTTGTAGAGATAACAAATATATTTGGCAAGCTATTAGAAATATTTAATGCCTTTAAATTCCGATGTGATACACGGATACGGCAATTGAAAACCAAGGGAAGTAGACAGCCTTAGAGCTACCAACAAAGTGCCCAAGAAATAGAAAGAGGTAGTTTTAGTTATTTTTGCTTAATTTAATATATTGTAGGATTGATATCGGTACAGTATTGTATCAACTGCAGAATATACCACGCATCACTATAGAATACGTTAGTTCCAAGGTTAGCTTCCCTCCTGGTTAGAGTCATAGGGTTAGGACGAGGATAAGGATTAGTATTAGGGTTAGGATAAGGGTTATTTGTGTAGTGGGGTATTCTGCAGTTGTTCCAAGCAATATTTTATCAAACAAAAATATTTGCAAGTCAAAAAATAATTCAAAGAAAATCATTTTTTTATCGGGATTGTTGAAGTTAAATCAAAAGGTCATACCTTCAATGAACGGTTGACCTTAACCCTGACAGAGATCAACACCTTAGGAGTCCCACCCCGTGTGTTTTGTTTTCAGATCTCCGTATCGGATATTAAGTCTCGCCGAAAATTATTGTTTTCAGATCTCCGTATCGGCTACAAAGTCTCTCCACTAATTATTGTTTTCAGATCTCCGTATCGGCAGCAAAGTCCCGCCAATGATTATGGTTTTCAGATCTCCGTATCGGCAACAAAGTCACGCCAATGATTATTGTTTTCAGATCTCCGTATCGGCAACAAAGTATCGCAAATGATTATTTTTTCAGATCTCCGTATCAGCTACAAAGTCTTACCAATAATTATTGTTTTCAGATCTCCGTATCGGCAACAAAGTCTCTCCAATGATTATTGTTTTCAGATCTCCGTATCGGCAACAAAGTCACGCCAATGATTATTGTTTTTAGATCTCCGTCTCGGCAACAAAGTCACGCCAATGATTATTGTTTCAGATCTCCGTTACGGCAACAAAGTATCAGCAATAATTATTGTTTTCAGATCTCCGTATCGGTAACGAAGTATCAGCAATAATTATTGTTTTCAGATCTCCGTATCGGCAACATAGTCTCTCCAATAATTATTGTTTTCAGATCTCCGTAGCGGCAACAAAGTCTCTCCACTTATTATTGTTTTCAGATCTCTGTATGTGCAACAAAGTCACGCCAATTATTTTTGTTTTCAGATCTCTGTATCGGCAGCAAAACCACGCCAATAATTATTGTTTTGAGATCTCCGTATCGGCAACAAAGTATCAGCAATACTTATTGTTTTCAGATCTCCGTATCGACAACAAAGTCACGCCAATGATTATTGTTTTCAGATCTCCGTATCGGCAACAAAACCACGCCAATAATTATTGTTTTTAAATTTCTCCGTATCGGCAACAAATTCTCTCCAGTAATTATTGTTTTCAGATCTCCGTATCGACAACAAAGTCCCGCCAATGATTATTGTTTTCAGATCTCCGTATCGGCAACAAAACCACGCCAAAAGTTATTGTTTTGAGATCTCCGTATCGGCTACAAAGTCTCATCAAGAATTATTGTTTTCAGATCTCCGTATTGGTAACAAAGTGTCAGCAATAATTATTGTTTTCAGATCTCCGTTTATCGGCAACAAAGTCACGCCAATGATTATTGTTTTCAGATCTCCGTATCGGCAACTAAGCCACGCCAATGAGTATATATTGTTTTCAGATCTCCGTATCGGCAACAAAGTCACGACAATGATTATTATTTTCAGATCTCCGTATCGTCAACAAAGTATCAGCAATAATTATTGTTTTCAGATATCCGTATCGGCAACAAAGTCTCTCCAATGATTATTGTTTTCAGATCTCCGTATCGGCAACTAAGCCACGCCAATGATTATTGTTTTCAGATCTCCGTATCGGCAACAAAGTATCAGCAATAATTATTGTTTTCAGATATCCGTATCGGCAACAAAGTCTCTCCAATGATTATTGTTTTCAGATCTCCGTATTGGCAACACAGTCACGCCAATGATTATTGTTTTTAGATCTGCGTCTCGGCAACAAAGTCACGCCAATTATTATTGTTTTCAGATCTCCGTATCGGTAACAAAGTATCAGCAATAAATATTGTTTTCAGATCTCCTTATCGGTAAAAATTATCAGCAATAATTATTGTTTTCAGATCTCCGTATCGGCAACAAAGTCTCTCCACTAATTATTGTTTTCAGATCTCCGTATCGGCAACAAAACCACGCCAAAAGTTATTGTTTTCAGATCTCCGTATCGGCAACAAAACCACGCCAATAATTATTGTTTTGAGATCTCCGTATCGGCAACAAAGTCTCTCCACTAATTATTGTTTTCAGATCTCCGTATCGGCAACAAAGTCACGCCAAAGATTATTGTTTTCAGGTCTCCGTATCGGCAACAAAGTATCACCAATGATTACTGTTTTCAGATCTCCATATCTGCCATTCAAGATGAACATTTATACATGTTCGTACATAGGTAAGTATCACAAGGTAAGTAATGACAAATTTATTAAAATTTTATCGTGAAAAATTAAAATGAAAATAAAACCAATTTCATGTGTCAAAGTTAATTTACAAAAAAAGGGGGAAATACGATTACAGAATCAATACATTTTGGATGTTTGTTGTATATCACGACTTGTTTGAATATATAGAGTTATCAAAAGTTATATAATATATTGTTAACATATATTATTTAACCGCAGAGGACAGTCTAGTGATCTGCCTGAAACTACAATGAATAGTTCAGTGAAAAGATGTAATATGAAGGAAGGAAAGTATGTTAAAATAAAAGGCTACGAATTAGAAAGAAATATACAAAAGCAGTGATTGGAATGAGAAACAGGGCCAAATAATTATAACTAAATGGAAAGAATGATACTTTTTAAAAGTAGGAAATGCAGTTTGGTTGGTATGTAAACAAATAAACAAATAACTATAGAATGCGATGCAGTTTCAGAGAGAGTTATCATTTTACAGGTGGAAGGAAGAGGAGAGGAGAAGACGTTCTGATCGCGCCATATGCGATTTACGACCACGATGACGATTCATTGATGCAGTGATAATGGCGGAGTACTAATTTATTTAATTTGATTAGGGGGGGGGGCAATATATATTTTGCCCATAGCGACCTAAACAGAATAAGTCAATTGTAACTCGAATTCTGTTTTCAGATTAAGTCAACGTGTGTAAATATGATTAGCCTTTGTTTTTAGCTCTGTATATACATTTTGATAATTATTTAATTATGCTTTTAATGATGAACCTTCGGAATAACAAACATTAAATTTCGGAATTATGAATCTGCAGAAAAAGGACATGATAGCAAGATAGAGTGGAATATTTTGTAGCCTCTCTTTTCAACCAAAAGATTTGGAATAGAGGAATGGTGCTGAAATCGAGATTTCTAATTCCGTTTCGAGAGCTTTCATTCTAGCTCTTTCCTATAATTACTGTTATAGCCGCAGAATGAACACGTATTCAAAATGCATTGCAATTTTCAATTTTACCAGGGGTACGACAACAATGAAGCGAGGTAACAGGTAACGACCACGACGGCTACTAAGTCACGACTACGATGGTGGTGAGCAAGCGATTACGAGACTGATAGCGCCCACGGTGGTAACCAGGTATATAATAGAGCAAGATTATGGGGAAATAAATGTTCTTATCCAAATAAAGAAATTTGATGAAAATTATCATAAAAGAGGAATACAGTTACGTTTTATAATTTGAAGCCCGCATTTTGAGACCTATTAAAAAATGTTGTCCTGACTTTTACTATCTACACTGCTATTTCCGCAAATTTTCTATTTCCTAATTCTAATATTTTCATAGTTGTATTCCAAAGGCTGGTGATATTAAAACTACGCTCTCTTCAAAGTAGTGCTTAATAAACTTCACTTTATTAATGCAGGCCTTTAATCCATGATTGGCAAAATATTGTAGCCGTTAGGTCACCATTCTCCCCCAGTAAAGATTATAAAAGTGTTTATTCGTTTAAATTGTCAGCGAGGGAAGAAGGGCGGCGACCAGCCTCGCTACCAGGGTGATGGCAACCAGAGCAATGAACAAGATGGAGCCGACCAGGGCGACGGCATGGACGGCAACCGGAGTTTGACCACGGTGAAGACGACCGAGCCGGAGAAGACGTCCAGAGGGACGGCGACCAGCAGGGTGATAGCTACGGAGATATAGTAAGTATTAATGATATTATGATGCAGTGATTATGAGTCCCCTGTTTTTTGTCTTTTTAATTATAATTTGATATCCTCCTCGTTGGCAACTCTTCTGACATAGTTTAATTTCAAATAATATTTAAACAATTATCTTTGTTAAGTTTCATGCATGTCCACGTCGTGTGCAACACGCATAATGGGTAGATGACCAGTTGATGTGTTCATCCGATGTCTGTTCATTTGCGTTGTCTTGTTGTGGGCTTTGATTATACTTATAACTTATAATAGCTTTGCCATTAAATGACATTTTAAATTGTTCTGTCTTTTACTGTTTCAAGCATATTATTACACGTAAATGGGGACGTATTTGAATCTTAGTGGTGTGTTTCGCGTTTTTCTTTATCTGGATGATATTCTACTGCACAAATGACAGTGATGATAATCTGGTATCTCTTTTTTTCTCCCATCATTTTATGTACAGCAAGATGATACACCCTTTGTCTCTTCGCTGCTAAGAAGACGACGAGTTAACTGTCATCTTAGATGCCTCGCAGAGATACAACTTAAGTCTTCAGATTGAACTTTAAAAAAAATTAAAAACACGACGTTGCAAGGTAAAGCTGATTGTTATGCAAACATGAGCTACAAGCTAGATGACATCCATGTCAATGACAGCTGCTCGTCATCAAAAAAAATATCAGGACTTTGACGCCCACTCATGAACAAAGGAGAAGCCAAAAATGGAAATGAATTTGAAAGAAAACTTTGAATCTTGCTCAACCAAGTTAACGTCATAAACTGTTGCATGAAAGAGGATTGTGCATAATTTATTTACAATGATGTATATCTTATCTAAAAATTCTAGACGTCGGAGGCAGTATTAATTGAGAGAGAATAACATTGTACTATGTGATTTATATATTGCACTCTGCATAGATGCATTACATTATTTAAATATTTTGTTAACAATTTAGTACTGATACTAATTTTACGCAGACTATCCGAATTGCTTATCCGTATGCCATGGTTATGAGATGTATAATTACTATTGCCTTGTAAGTTGCATTTTTCTATGACATGTTTTAATCAACAGCGCTGCTAACTATAATACTGCTGTTGCTGCCAACTAATACTGATGCTGCTGTTAACTGATACTGCTGCTGATAACTAATACTGCTGCTGCTGCTAACTAATACTGCTGCTGCTGCTAACTAATACTGCTGCTGCTAACTAATGCTGCTGCTGCTGCTGTAAACTAATACTGCTGCTGCTGCTAATGCTGCTGCTGCTGCTAACTTATGCTGCTGCTAACTAATACTGCTGCTGCTGTTTAACTAATACTGCTGCTGCTAACTACTGCTGCTGTTAACTAATACTGCTGCTGCTAACTAATGCTGCTGCTGCTGCTAACTTATGCTGCTGCTAACTAATACTGCTGCTGCTGCTAACTTATGCTGCTGCTAACTAATACTGATGCTGCTGTTAACTGATACTGCTGCTGATAACTAATACTGCTGTTGCTGCTAACTAATACTGCTGCTGCTAACTAATGCTGCTGCTGCTGCTGCTAACTAATACTGCTGCTGCTGCTGCTAACTAATACTGCTGCTGCTAACTACTGCTGCTGTTAACTAATACTGCTGCTGCTGCTAATGCTGCTGCTGCTGCTAACTTATGCTGCTGCTAACTAATACTGCTGCTGCTGTTTAACTAATACTGCTGCTGCTAACTACTGCTGCTGTTAACTAATACTGCTGCTGCTAACTAATGCTGCTGCTGCTGCTAACTAATACTGCTGCTGCTAACTACTGCTGCTGTTAACTAATACTGCTGCTGCTGCTTTTTTTTTTTTTTTTGGTCTCGAAATTTGGAAATTTGACATTTTGCTCCGTTGGGGGGGGGGGGGTAAGGTCACCTTTTTTAGGTCGGCCATGGGAATAATTTTTTTTTTAATAATTAAAAAAAAAAAAAAAAAAAAAAAAAATCCAAAAAGGGGGGGGGGGGGTTTTAGGTTTTTTTTAGGGGGGTTTACACACAAAAAATTTCAAAAAGGGGGGGGGGGGGTTTAACCCCCAAACACCCCCACCCCCCCCCCCCCCCCCCCCCCCCCCCCCCCTGCGTACGCGCCTGGCTGCTGCTAACTACTGCTGCTGTTAACTAATACTGCTGCTGCTGCTAATGCTGCTGCTAACTAATACTGCTGCTGCTGTTTAACTAATACTGCTGCTGCTAACTAATGCTGCTCCTGCTGCTAACTAATACTGCTGCTGCTAACTACTGCTGCTGTTAACTAATACTGCTGCTGCTGCTAATGCTGCTGCTGCTGCTAACTTATGCTGCTAATACTAATACTGCTGCTGCTGTTTAACTAATACTGCTGCTGCTGCTAACTAATACTGCTGCTGCTAACTAATACTGCTGCTGCTTACTAATGCTGCTGCTGCTTACTAATACTGTTGCTGTTAACTAATACTGCTGCTGCTAACTAATACTGCTGCTGCTGTTAACTAATACTGCTGCTGCTAACTAATACTGCTGCTAACTAATACTGCTGCTGCTGCTAACTAATACTGCTGCTGCTGCTAACTAATACTGCTGCTGCTGCTAACTAATACTGCTGCTGCTGCTAACTAATAATGCTGCTGCTGCTAACTAATACTGCTGCTGTTGCTAACTAATAATGCTGTTACTGCTGCTAACTAATATTATTGTAACAAAGGGTTCTCGGTGATTTGTGTATTGTAATTATTTGCCTTTTTTACAAATATAAGCGTAACCATATTAACTATATATATAATATGTTCCCCTTATCCGAAACATGATACAGTTACTACTTTAAACACCATAATATTCTTATTTAATGTATGTGTCTCTGTTGTATGTGTTGTACAGTTGATTTTACAGTTTATACCTTTTCAATCTTGATATTTCATTGATCTTATCCTTTTGTATCGCTAAAACTACTATGTGTCTGTTTCTATGGTATTCTACTCGTTCAATAAAATTTTGAAGTAAATCGAGTACATAAGTGAAACTATGTTTAATATCAGATTTACATTTAATATTGTCTTGACTGTTTCGTGTTATTGATCCAATACAAGGTTATAATATGTGCCAATGCACACCAAATGTCTATTTCTGTGTACATAAATGATATATATATTGTATTGTCAGGGTTAAGAGGAGAGTATATTGAGTCTACTTAAGGCCGATTGGGCTAAAAGTCTACGAGACCCCAAAGTTCCTATATTTTGAAGGGTCATGAGCCTAAAAAGTTGGTCTCGTAAAGTTATTTATGGTCTCGTGGACTTTCCGTCACGTCTCTATCGAAATTAAATTGCAGATAAATATTTTGGAGTATAATGTTTTTATGTATGGTAATTTCGAAGTCTGTGAATTCTCTGTTTTCAAAATTATGTGTGTTGATAACATTTTTGTATGTGTAAACAATCGTTATTACCAATATGATGTGATCCATAACATTTCGTTTAAATGCTATATCAAATGGTTTTATATGAAGTCAAATTACGTGTGTTTTATCGGTATAGATCAGATGAGCCCTTGTCATTGGAATACTGTTTTAGGTTATCAGTCTTCTTTGTGTAGGTCCTATGTCGTACTAAATGTGGTATTGATTCATTTTCTGGATAAACATGAAATATCGCTTATAATAGAGTGGAATTTAAAAGAGCACTGGCAGTAACTATTAAAAGGCGCAATCATGACACTGCTAAGTGACATATGATTTTACAATTGTTATTGTTATACGATGCCTATAATGTGTTTTTCAAATAGACGTATAATTATCGTGTTTAAAGACAAAAATGTATTAAAATAAAGGATAAATGTTTCACACTCTCATTTATAGACTCACGATTTGTCTTATGATTCTGTCCTAAATTGAATTTTACTGGTGCACAAGATATTGTCGAATAAACACACAAAGTGTTACGGTGGTATAATCACAAAAGATTTTCACAATTTTGTTTTATAGATCTGGGAAACGGAAAATATCAAAGCTATCCTAACCAAAACGTTGCCTTCCAGTCCCAATATTAACTCAGAAGTGCTTTATTCACTTTAACTCAAATTCGCCTCTTCATGTGAACAAAATTGTCCATGCTCTATCAATGCAAAAAAAATAAAACCCAATTTTAGGGGCGTCTGACCGTGTACACTGAAACTTGAAAGTGCTTTCTTTTGACAAAGTTCGTTGCAAGGTCTAAGCTGAGGGTGAAATTGATCCGACTTGGGGTCTGTTCGGTCGGGAGGGGGGAGGGGGGGGGGGGCTCTGTGGGCCGACAACCTTTTTCTCCCACTTACCATAGTAATACTATAAGCAGGGATTTGTAGTTCATGGCCTAACTAAGTAAAGGGTCGAAAGGGGTTTTAGTAAGGCTCTTGGCTCTAGAGGATGGAAGAGATTGGAGAAAATTATAGAGAGTAAAAAATAGCATGGAGAGAGGTGGAGGAAATAGAAAAACAGAGATGGAGAGAGAGAGAGAGAGAGAGAGGGGGGGGGGGACTTGAGAGCTGGGCTTTACAACCACAGTCATTTCAACACAATCCCCCCCCCCCTCATTGGCCCCTATTTTCCGTTTTGAAGGAAAAAAAAATCATAGACATATTGTGCTTTAGACCTCTTCACCTCATATTAACAACAACAACAATATAACTGGCTGAATTGAGAAAAAACATGATTATTGCGCTTTCCCGCCAAAATATTTGATTTAATTAAACAATCGACCGAGTTTCTAATCATACTTGACTTTATTGATTCATTGGATGTATTCATATTGTATTGGATCCATGTTTAGAACTGTCAAAATATTTCTCCCTCTCTCTCTGTCTGTGTGTCTCTTTCTCTCTCTTTCTTTCTCTCTCTCTCTCTCTCTCTCTCTCTCTCTCCTTTTCCTCTTTTCTTTTTTTACCTTCTCTTCTTGTTCTTTTCTCCTTTATACTTTTGCCCCCCTTCCCGTGTTGGCCGCCGAAAAAAGGGGGTGGCCGATTTAGCCCCTAGCTGTATCTGCCACTAAATACACGAGGCTAAAGAAGAAAAAATCACTCAATTACAACGCCATTGTGTTCAAACATAATTCTGCTTGAAGGTTACAAATACACTCATCGTTTCTATAAATTGGGTTGTCAAAGTGAATAACTGGTATTGGTTGTTTATTTGACAATGACAATTATCATTAAATATTTACTCAGACAATATTCAGTCCATAATAAAAGAAAAATGAAGTCAAGAGGGATAAATTAATATTATTTGTCATACTCGTGCTGGACAAAGGTTTCAGTCGTGTTTCATTAGGGACTTTTAGATTTGCATGGACTGATTCGTGTGACGTCCATTCAAGGCAGTGCATTAAAAGGACGTCGACTGTAGCAATCCACGTTGTCGTTGTGCAAATCTAAAAGTCCCTATTATTGTTCTCAGAGACAGATTCGGCTATTGAAAGGGCGCCATCACGATTATACAAGCTACGAAGATTCATGTTCTTCTGGGAGTCATACGGGGTTTCATTGGATAGCTTGGTTCATAAACATGATAAACTTCATGTATCCTATTCTCAATGGTTTTTGTGAAAATGGCAATACCATGTTTACATCTGTCAAATAGCACATATAGCGCCTTTTGAAACGTTTTTGTTAGTTTATCACCCAAATGACAAATATCTTCCCTTCGAAGTATGATAGCGTCTCCTTATGCAAGGTCCAGAGTTGTGCAGTCATATTATGGCTGAACATAAGTGGGTCTAGTGTAGCCACTTTAACAGATATATATCATCTTTAAACAAATCTTGGTGTTACGTTTGCATTCTGTATGCACATCTTAACTCGCTGGGTTAGCAAATTAATTCGCTGCTCGTTCAGATATGACGCGGCAAAACCTCGGGGGATTTGTTGTTTTATGATGACGTAAAGTGTAATGAGCATCACATTATTTTATTTTTTTGTATCATAATAACCCGAGACGTTTAAATATATTATTCTGCCTTCTAATGGATCCGTAAAACACAGCGAAGCTTGAAGACCAGCCAAACAAAAAAAGGCTCAGAAAAAGATTCCATGGCATTTTGAGGTAATATGCATGGTATCCATGCTAAAATCTTGCAAAAATTAAGGAATACGATAGGCGTGGGTGTCATGCGCACATTTTACTAAAAATTACATTTTTGGCACATAAATCAAAAGAATGTCAAAATTCAAGATATCTATTTTAAACCAATTGTGTTTCATCCAAAAAAGGAGTTTTCGATCGATATAATCCTTATTTTGAGTTTGAAGTTATAAACCTGCATACATTTGAAAGTTGGTTATTACAAAATATTGATGTGATTATCTACGAATATGGGTTATAAAAACTACCTATTTTGCAAAGTTTTTTTAACACACCATAAATCTGTCCATTGGAACACCCTTTTTCATTAAAATATATGCCGTCATGCTACACACAGAAAGAAAAAAATAAGATAATGTGATGAACAAAATCTTTCATGTTATTCGAAATGTCCAGTAAACCGCCATATCTGAACGAGGCTTTTTTGTTTACCTAAATTGTAGATTTTGCATGTTATTTAGAGATCCAATAAGGCCTATGTGACGTAGTTAATAGGTAGAGATAAGGGAGGGCATTGGGAACTTGAGGGGGGCGCACGTCTCTTGGGCTATTGGGTGGATGAAATGTATGTTTTCCCTTTGTTTAAAAGATTATTGAGAATGATCATACACTTTTGAATTTTAATCAATACAACTGCATGTATTTTAATAAGAATTTGTAAATTTACAAGGCCGTCGAGGGTTTTGTGAGAGGGGGCCGTCTTTTCCAAGTCCCATCCCACCCCTAGTGAGCTGTCTCTCCCCTTCAAACTTATGAGAAGAAATAAATAGATGCCATCAAGCCCTCACGTACATTTACAATCTTTTCTCATTAAAAGCTTGAATATGTTATGCCTAAAAAAAAAAAATCTTGTTTCCATGTTTGATCTCATTATACAAGCGTGAAATTGTTTTGCTTAATTGAATAGAATCTCGTTTCCATATTTGATTTCAAAACATAATGCTTACATGGAAAGGGGCTTTGCGTAATGGATTCGTCTGTCGCCAAACTATCTCCGGCAAATAATATTTCCAGGGTGATTAGTTTTATTTTTTGACATGCTCTTTTATAATTTGAGCGTGCGAAGCCTCGATCTATAGGCCCATGCAGGCGCGGATCCAGGGGGGGCAAGCGGGCCTTGGCCCCCCCCCCCCCCCCCCCCCGCAAAAAAAAAAAAAAAAAAGAGAGAGAGAAGGAAAGAAGGCAAAGGGAAAGAGGAGAGAAAGGGGGGAAAAGGAAGAAGAAAAGAAAAGAGGGAAGAAGTAGATCGGGGGAGGGCAAAAGGACTTGCCTCCCAGGCTGTTGCCCCCCCCCCCCCCCAATCAAAAAATAAAAGAGAAGGAAGGAAAGGGAAAGAAAAAAGGAAAAGAGGAGATACAGGGAAGGAAAAAAGAGGAAGAAGAAAAGAAAAAAAAGGGTATATCAGTTGCAATTTTACCGCCAACAACTTGTGAATTGGGGGGGGGGGGGGGTGGGCAAAAGGAAGGAAGAGAACGTAGGAAAAAAACTGAATTTAAACAAAGATTAAGAGTCGATAACGACACAACTAATTCTTCTTACTTAAATCATTGGTCTGGAAACAATTATTTGCCCATTGTTGTGTATTGTATTACATTTCACTATCAATGAATTCACATTGTAATGCAATTTTCAAGTTTCCCAGGCTTATTTAGGAGAACAGAAGATTGATATTGTTAAGTTGTACGATAACATCACTCAGTTTGATTTGATTGGAGATATATCTCATTAAAAACAGAGTAAAGGCTATACAGTATCAAACAAACCTATACCATTAAACTTCAAGCTCACTCACACATGATTTATTGCGACACTTTCAAGGCTACTTATTATTTCAAGTTCATGGTTATACAAAGGGCAACAGCTTCAATATTAAACGTAATTAAATCATTGGTCTGGAAAATGTTAATGCCCATTGTTGTATATTATACAACATTTTCCATAACGATGAATATACATTGTATGATGCAATTTTCCGGGAAAACCATACTTGTCATTACTGTTATATTTGTTATATGATACTAAAGCAAATCGTTTCGCTTATCGATAAGATAAATCAATGTGAAGTACGTGTCAAATAATGAAATCATTACGTGCTATTTTTAACGGGACTAGACATTTGAAATGTATAAAAAATGTATACACTATTGACAGCAAGCAAGTGTTTTAAACAAAGAATTCAGAAATTGAACAACATTGCACATTTTAGTCTACACAGCATGCTCTACACCCTTAGTTGGACTGTAAACAGTTGTCTTCTTAAGTCTTCCATATAAATATAAATTTAAAGGAGGTCAATAATCATTATGAAAACACCACTCTCGTTAGGTTGACACATCATATTGTGCACACATGTAACAATGTGATAATATTTTTTCTTTGAGGGGGGGGGGGGGGACGGGAGGAGGGCAATCAAAAAAGTGACTGATATGTGAACATTAATATTGATAGGTCGCTTCACAAAAGGGGCATACATAGTCCTTTTTTGTGAATAGTTTTTTGAGCAAAACACAAAATAGGTGGAGCCAACGTCCACACAGGTCACATCGCACCCATGGAGGTTTTGGCCCGAATTTACAAAGGAGATTTGTTCACAAATCTAGGTTTATGTGCTTCATAATTTTTTTTTTATGACGCGTTTCGATGCGTTTCAGACCAAGGTTTAGACAAACCTTTGTCTGAAACGCGTCATATAATTATGACGCACATAAACAGGTTTGTTTACAAACCTCCTTTGTGAATTCGGGCCTTTGTGTCTGTGTCCTTCCCTGACTTTTCACACGACACATTTTTTTCCCCATGTCTTTTGCGAGATGCCCCACATTCCGAGAATTTATTCTCTTGGACACAGCTAGAGCGTTCTGCAATTGAAAGCGAAATGTGGGAGTCAGGGGCGGCGATCCCGGGGGTAGGACGGGGTACACGTCTTCCCTCAATTTTCTGAGGGGGATCGTCCCCCATGGATAATTTGAAAAAGTGCACACCAACAAAATGTATAGCAAATACTGACTAAAGACTGCAACACGCTTTAAGGCTCTGGTGGGCCAAGAGTACAGCGTTTAGACTACACTCTTATTTCCACGGCGTCAAATTTCACTCTAAACGGCGTCAGCTGGGAGTCAACTCTATTCCTAGTTAAAGTGACACGGATTCCGAATCAATTTGACTCGGATTGTGTGGCATCAGCTGAGAATTGACTCAATTCAGAGTCAAGATGACTCCTTTTCCGTGTCACTTTAACTAGGAATAGAGTTGACTCCCAGCTGACGCCATTTAGAGTGAAATTTGACGCTGTGGAAATAAGAGTGTAATAGAAATGCTAAAATCTTCTCGCTCGGTCGCTACGCTCCTTCGCATAATATCCTAAAAATATACAAGTAAATATTGTAGAAAGTATGTATTCTGTTGGTATCACGTATGTACAGTTTATACTGTATGTTAACAAGATTAAAAGTTATAGAAATAGATCAGTGTTCCAAAAATGAATATTCAGCTTGCTCTTTTAAGAAGTCCCTTCCTGCTCAGTACTTACTAAAATTTACCTAGTAAATATTTACAACCCTTCGAACTGCACACTGGGAGGGGGGGGGGGGGGGTTAAATTAAGACAAGGATTAAGAGTATAGAGAACGGTACAACGAATCGTCTTCTATCTCTAATGATTTAATGAAACGTCAAAGCTTCCGCGCTTCGCGGAGGGGGGGCTGAATTAAGACAAGGATTAAGAGTCGAGAACGGTACAACGAATCGTTTTCTTTCGTCAATGATTTAATGAAACGTAAAAGTTTCCGCGCTTCGCGCGGGAGGGGAAAATTGCATTCAAACGAGGATAATTTTCGAGAACGCTATAACGAGTCGTCTTCTTTCACTAATAGTTTAATGAAACTTCAAAGCTTCCGCGCTGCGCGGAGGGGGGGGGGCTGAATTTAGACAAGGACTAAGAGTCGAGAACGGTACAACGAATTGTCTTCTTTCTCTCATACTTTAATGAAACGTCATATGTAGCTTTCGCGCTTTGCGTAGGAGGGAGGGGGAAACTCGCCCCTCCCTACATCCCCTTGCATTACGTCACTGCTGGTCACCATTACGTAACAATATGTGACCTGCTATGGCAAAACCCAACACTTCATGGTAAAAATAAAAATTGAGTTCTTGGTATCATTGGAAAGAGTAAAGTATGACCTTTAAGATGATACCTCATTTAAAAAAATTGATTGAAATTTGACAAAGTTATTGTGATTTTTGTGATTTCAATCACCGGAAGTTGATTATGAGATATTGAGGTTTAAAGTTAAGAATTTGGTTCAATTTTCACACAAAAAACATGCATACATTCACTTCATAGCAACGGCATCAACCAAACAAGCTAAAGTCTTGTTATTTTACAGGCATACTAGACACATACCCAACTTACATTTCTGTTAAAACCATTAGATTTGGAAAAATATTAATAAAGTTATGATAATTTTTAAAAACAATAGAAAACAAAAGAATTTCAAAGTTTTTGTTATACTAGGCAAAGTTGATGGGAAAACGATTCCACGGTTTATTATGTTTCATCAGTACAGAATTTGTTCTTGTACACAAAATAGTAGCAGGTTACATCAATGTTGCAATAATAAAATGTAATAGTGCATTTTCTTAAAATTTATGCTTAATAATAGGCCTATTACAAAACCAGATGTAATAAAAATGATTTAAAAAAAATATATTAAAAATAAGATTGCAATAAAGTGAAATAACGAATTGCGTTGAACTTGAAACCCGTCAGAATCTATTTTTCAAATGATAATTACTGGAACAAATAAAGCGAGTTCAAAATGATTGATATTTTGTCATATTTAATAAAGGCTATGATATAAAGCATTAGTCTTAATCAAGACTATTTGAGAAAAAAAAAGATATCGTGTAAGTCACTCGACAACAGATAACCTATAATACATGTATTGTAAAAATATCCTGGTTCATTTAGGAATGTACAATAAAGTAACAGTTGAGACCATTTGACAGAGCTGTTGTCTTCTTGAGATAGAGATTAATAATGCAAAAATATTAATTTCAGTCAATCAGTATCAGATATAAAATATATTCTTTCATTATCAAAGTAAAGAAAAAACAATAACGAATCCCATAACAAATGCAATCTGACTAGTGACTACACTAATCATAAACTATTATGCATTAGTGCCCAAGAATTAATGATGAACAGTTTCGAATCTCTTGAGTTATCTTGTTTCATACAAAATTCACAGCCGAAGAGATCAATAGTATGTACATAGGATAAGACATGCCAAAGATGTGGCACTTTCTTTGTGTACGGAAATACGAAGGGCCAGGTTGTTGGGGGTCAACTGGATAATGCACTTGCTGTGCAAAGTCGAATCTGTAATGAAAAAACTACAGGCTTGGAGTTCGCAGTCTTCTTCCCTAGCTTCTTGATGGAGAGCTCTATCGCGACTGCCTGTAAGGCTTGACAGGCTGTCCTGTAGAAGATGCTCCTCCTGCCTCCTGAGTGCCTCTGTCTTCTGTTCTTTAGGAACATTGACCTGCAGACATGAGGGAAAAAGCAAAACGAAACAAAAATCTCCTGATTAGTCAAATTTTCGCATCTACTATTTTTCTTTACAAAGTAAATATTTTTTGTTACACTACAATAGTAGATCATTCTCAAATGGAAAACACCAGCTCACAATAAAGTAAAAGTTGGTTGACTTGGAAGAAGAAAAGAGTAAATGTATTGTAGCAAATTTCATTTCATTAAAACACTTGAAATTTGGACAGAGCTTTGCAACGTTTTCCTAAGGATCTCAATTATAATATTTATTATGCTTGGTACAGTTTAGTGGTGAAGTATTTTTTTTAAAGCATACGTTAGGGTCTATTGATTAATGCTGCAAAATAGGAGAAAATATAATTAGCTTAGAATAAATGTAAGTATATTTTGCATTAAACTGCAGCTTGTACATAAACATCCAGTCCTTAGACATTATTATAAAGAAATACAAGTAAATAGTGACAGATCCAATTATACCTTATGGACTCTTGTTCGGCTACAGAGAATTGTTTGATACAGCGTCTTCGATTGAAGATACGGCAGTTGCATTTATTCACGCGGTCCTTCAGCGGTTCCAGATCAAGATCTACATGTATTTGTTGGGCCAGATTTGTAGCTGCTGCCGCCTCCTCCTCGTCATCAATGACAGGACCCGGTCCCAGTATGACGCTTTCATTGTCACTTGACAAATCCATAGGCTCCTCTGCATGCATCTGCCTCATCGACCCAATCGCTTTCATCGCCGCTTTCATCGCCGCTTTCACATGGCTCTGCTGGTCATGGACCTGCCTCCTCGAACTCATCAGACTCTGTTAAGTATAATTATAAAATAGAGATTCAAAAACTAATATCAACAAGTAGTCTAGACTCCGCAGAGATTTTTGTATAGGTATGAGATGCTTCATAAATCATAATCTAATTTAATAATAAATTTTAATTTAAATAATAGTGCACTTAAAATGTCTAATCTAGCTTTTGTTGCTCGAACATTTTGGCGAAACAAGTCTTTAATAAATAATATGGGCGTAGACCTAACTAAGTAACTTGAATACCTTTTTAATAATGATAATATTAATAAACCTACCAGAATCAGAGTCGGAGCTAGGAGACGAAGGAGTTCCTCTCTCGCCCGCGGCCGGGGGCTCGGCCCGGTCGGGTTCGCGAAGTAGTCAGCCAGGTGTTCGGTCAAGCCATGCACGGCATACCGCACGCCGATGCATCATTCAACAAAGAAGCGACGGTTTTATCCGTTAAATTCCTCTTTTTCCTCGACATTGTTCTAGCCACTCGATGAATACACGTATTTTACTTGATATATGAAACTCTAGCTCATTAAAAACAAACTTCTGAACAAGTTTTCGAAGAAAAAAGCTGGTGTTTCGATGCGAGAATTTGACCGCTGAGCAATCACAACAACAAGGCAAATGACGTCATGTGCGAATATTGGCGAATCAAGTGTCTGGATTTGGATCACGTGGCTGGCAACAGGCATTTGTTTACGGCCTGCTTGACAGCTCATCGAAATGATGTCATCTTTCATGGCATTTTTCATTGGGCAATTTTATTTAGGACCGCCCAATATAACCATATTTGGAATAACCGATCCTTACTCGTTATTTTCGTACCAAATACGTCAGGGATCGACTCAAACGTGGTCAACTGAGAGGGAAAACAACAAGCGATGAATCGCGAACTTTCCCTTCTTTTGACCGCATTGTTTCAACTAATTTCACTGGACAATGGAGCACATGATTAGATACAAAATATAATTAAAAATACTTCTAGATCGTTTTTTGAGTTCATTTTTTCTCTAAATCAATTTATAAAAAATAGACTTTCTGATCATGCAAAAATCTCAGTTGATCCCTAAATTCGAAATTTCATGTTCAAACGGGCCTACAGCACAATGGGATTTGCCGAGAAGCGTCGGGTTTTGCCGTAGCGGGTCACATATTTGGCTCGCATAATTTCAAATTTGGGCCCCCCCCCCCCTAAGAAATCCTGGATCCGCGCCTGGGCCCATGCATGTGAACGTGATTAGTCCGACCACTGCAATAAATTACTATTAAAATGTAATGTCACTATTAAAATTAATCCCACCCCACCCGGGCCAATATCCAAACATCCTATACCCCAACATACATCCCTAACCCGGCAAACCCCAATCCTGACCCAAAACCAAACCCATATTCCCAAGCTCCAACCCGGGGCTCAATTACCCCAACCCTCAACCCTGGCTCCCCTCCCCAACCTCCAACCCCCAACCTCATTCTCCCCGCCCCAACTCCCAACGCCAAGGGCTAAACCGGGGGGGGGGGATCACCCATTATAAAACCCTCAATGCACCAACCCCGCGCAGGCTCCCAAACCCAACCTCCAAGACCCAACCCTCTATCCCAACCAAGGCCCCAACCACAATCTCCACTCCCACCCCCACCCCATCACCCCCAACACCCCCCTCAACACCCCCAACACCCCCAACACCCCCCTACACCCCCAACACCCCCTACATCCCCAACACCCCCAACACCCCAACACCCCCAACACCCCAACACCCCCAACACCCCCAACACCCCCAACACCCCCAACACCCCCAACACCCCAACACCCCCAATCCAGTTGAACCATCATTTTTAAGGTATTACAAAGTTTTGGTATTGGGTCATGAATTTGGTTCAAAACATATTGGAAACATAATTATGCGTTCCTACAATATTCATTGATCGTTGTCGCGGTTGAAATCGAGTCTAAAGTTATGAAATTATAAATAATAAACTCTTTATGTTGTATAGCTCCCTCTCAAGGTGAAGATATTAATTTAGCTATGAAACGATGTTTCTTGACTAAAATCGACCGATTAGCTATTCCCGTTTGGAAATGATATATCACAACTACATATTCTGAGACTTTCATGGTCGCAGCTACCATTGTACGGCCATAGACGCTATTTGAAATTTATCAAAATTTACCGGGAGCACCGGTAAATTTTTATATTCCATTTTTCTCGAAAACAGAAGTGTTTTAGGGGCTAATTTTTTTAGTGCTTATAATATATCCACAGGGGCATCCAAATATATCAAAATTGTAAAGATTCACTCAGGCGCGTACGCAGGATTTTTTCAAGGGGGGGGGGTTTAACATTTTAAATCAGCCCGAAAATTTCGCATCGACTCAGCCAGCCGCTGAATAAGCGGGGGGGGGGGGGGGGGGGAAGAGAACACTTTTTTTTTTTTTTTTTGGTCTCGAAATTTCAAAATTTGACATTTTGCTCCGTTGGGGGGGGGGGGGTAAGGTCACCTTTTTTAGGTCAGCCATGGGATTTAAAAAAAAAAATATTATTATTTAAAAAAAAAAAAAAACAAAGGGGGGGGGGCGGGTTTTCGTTTTTTTTTAGGGGGGGTTATACACATAAAAATACCAAATGGAGGGGGGTTTAACCCCCCCCCCCCCCCCCTGCGTACGCGCCTGGATTCACTATCCACCCAACTTTCAAAATTTCCCAAAAAAGCGAATCCGTCGACACCACCAGCAGGTTGGTACCGGTAGCGGTACACCAGGGTATGTGAGTTAAAGTCTCACCTCCCTTTGCTCGCAAAGTGGGTGTAGTGAAATCTGCGAGATCGAGAGCACGACTGGCTGCAACAAGCTCTGGCGGCCGCTGTGGAACGGCGGGGCACGCAGGTCGTAATCGTGTAGTAGGTTCATTATAATGATACAGCCTAGCCTGGAAGACGAGCGCTTCGAAACCGAGTTGTTCTTGCTTTAAATGGTGGCAGACTCATCTGTAAGACACTGCACTTGACAGTGCTGGAATCTCATTGATTGTTAGATCATCGCCGCAGGTAAGATCTTAATTTGTTCATTGATTTATCATTTCCTGAAAATATACGTGTCCTAAGCTAAGCTACGGATGGTGTAGAGTAAACATGGTTGGCAAATTGAAGTGTAGCCCCATGTCTTTATTCTTATGTAGGGGTAAATCGATATCAGCAACATATGATATGTATCACTATCATATTGATAAACATTTCATTAATGATATTTAGATTACATTGCTTTCGAGCTTCATGTACTTGTGCTTCAACACAGAATATACACTTGTCCAATAGTAATTTAATATTTAAATTTTAGTTGTTTTTGGATGATTGAATATTTGTTGCGTCTATTCGAATTCTAACTTTTTTTAAAACACTAAATAGCAGTGATTTTATCATTTTGAATATGGTGGTATTGATGAATCAGAATAAGACACATTAACTTGTGAATTATTAATGATGAGAAAAAGAATGGTTTATTTCAGTTTCTTTAAAAAAAAAGTCTCCTTTGATGTTCTTTACTTTCAGATGATGATAACCGATGTTGTAGAGTAAACTTCATCTGCATCTGTGACCTTTTTCAATCTGGAAACATGCAGGATTGAGGAACCGTTTTATGTTGGTGAAAAGTTTGTAATCAGTGTTCAAAAGACGAAGAGACAATGTAGACTTGCAAGGCTGGATATCTGTCATAGAAATTTGTGATTAAATTGCTTCATTATCCTGCTATCGAGTCATTCACTATCGAGGAACAATCTGCATAATTGGTGTGATTTTAGGTGACTTCTAAAAAAAAAGGATTCTCCAAAAAATCACTGAAATTGAATGAAAACAATAGGCCTATTTTTTCATCTTGCAAATTCAGTCTTGGAGCAGTTGGATAATTTTAATCAAGAGCATCTTGTAAATTTTCTTGGTAGTGGTCCTCTGAAAAAAAATCTAAACTCCGGATTCCAGAATTCACAGCAAGAATAAGGAAGGAACATCCACTTTTTAGCATTGGAATGAGCTTGAGTGAACTTGGAGACAGCTAGATTTCATCATGAACATTTTTAGGATTCGAACCCGACGGGCACTCCGTTTTATCATATTATTTATATTTGTGTGTATATTGCTGTATGCCCTGTTAAGCTCAAAGCCAGCCAGTAATAACGAGGAACATAATCTTCCAAGACTGAATGAGGGCGACTCGCACTTAAAATTCAATGCTGCTGGTGACCAAAATGGACATCGGAAAGAAGATATTGGAAGACATTTTGAAGATGTAAGTAGTCCTTTTTTTTACCTTTCACAACCATAACCACGGTATGTAATTTCAGTATAATGTATCATCCCTATTTTCTTTTGTCATCACTGCACTGCAGTCGCTGTGATCCTACAAGTACATGCATCATCACTACAATATGTACTTGTAACAATGTACACTGTCATAAGAAACATATTCATCTTCACACATGTAATTGCTATCGTGATCATCTTCATTATCACCATATACATGTTTCATCACCATCACAATCATCACCATCATTATCATTCATCATCCTTGTATTCGTCATCATCATCTTCATCATTTTATCACCATCCTTGCCATCATCACTGTCAGTCATATTACCTTAATTATTATTATCAAAATCATCATCATCACCTCATTGCATCATTATCATTATTGTGGTCATGATCTTAAACCTTCATCATCATTATCAGCACAGTATGAATGATGTCTTATACTTATTTAATTAGCCACTTTCTATTTCAAGTTGTTAATTTCACACAAATAAAAATGATTCATTTCATTATCAGTTTGATAACATGATATTTTCACAATAATGAACATAAATAGATGAATAGATTATGAAGCACATGGGGAGGATGAAGATGAAAAAAGGTCATTGGGCACTGTTTACTGAAGGTAAATTTTTGATACATGTACTGTAGCCATCAGCTTCAGATAATCAAATGCATGATATTGAACATTTCTCCAGTAGTCCAGTGTACAACATGCATCTAAATAAAGTGAAATTTATAAGCAACATGTACAGGTTGTACATTGTACATTATGTGGGACCCCCCCCCCCCCCCCCCCCCCAAAAAAAAAAAAAAAAAAAAAAATCCTATGGGAATTGATCGATCCTGTTTCAATCTATCAAGTGTCATATCACCTACATGTACTTACAACCAACTGAGCAAGTAGAACATTCTTGTATGCTGCTTGGAGAAAAAGCTGTACATGTGTACACTACACACAAATCAGTGTTGGGAGTGGACTTGGGTATGAAATATACAATGTACAGTGTACAACTTGGCCTGCATGGACACATCTTATTATGTGGGCTATAGTGGCAGATTAATACTTGATGAAAGATGTGCATGCTGCCTTTGCCAAGATGAGTGCACATGTATGTACATTGTCTGTTTAAACAAGAGTTTATAATAAAATCCCTGATCATAGAGCAGTAATTACATGTACAAGTGCTCCTGCTTGTACATACATGTACTTGTGTAAGTACTGTACATGTATGTGTAAAGCCCATCATCCTGCATCCCAACTTTGAAAGAAATGGGAATTGTAGAAGATATGAATTTTCTGAATTTATCTAAACAAACATCGCCCTTCTGATTTACCTTCTAAATAATGATGAGAATGAAAACGACCTGAATTTTAATGCGTCAAACTCTAAGTTTTAGTTGGAAGAAAACAAATCAACCAACTTACATGTAGTACTTAAATGCCAGTTAAGTTTAATTAAAATCCTTTTATTTTAGGATTACGCCTTTAATCTGTAAGTCCAGAAGTGGTTGTGCAGCATACAAATATTTATGCAACACATTTTGGGATTGGAAGCAAATTATTTTATTTAATCAGCTACAAGAACAAATCTGAACAGATGTTCCTAGATTTTCAGGAAGTACAACAAAATCAATATTGATCAATAAACTTATATTACAGAAACTGCAATCTAGTTCAGGCCATCAATTTTAAAATGTGATCTTGGGTGTTCAGAACGTTGGATCTCATCTTTTGAGGTACCGGTATTGCAATGTAGGCCACTTTTGTAATGTAACCACATTTATACCTACATGTTCATGACTACATATACATGTACATTAAAGTGCCTCAATACAAATTATTTCATTCACCTGTATGAATAATTGTAATTTAATAATAATAGTCAGAGTGCCAATTGCATGTATTGTTTTAATGTTTGTCCTACTTAGCAACAGCTATTGTATTTGTATGCAATTTGAATTTATTTGTAACAGGTGAATGAAATAATTTGTATAAGGCGCGTCACAAAAGCATATTATTCATGAATTTGGTTGCATCAACAAAGATTACCTATTGTAGAGCACAGTTTATCATAAATTTTGCATTTTTAAAACAAAAGAATGCTTGACAATTCTCAAGAAACACTACAGTACATGTACCTCCTTTGTTATTTATCCATTAAAAAACTAAATGAAGGTGTCATACATGTACATGTAGGTATGTGTTTTTCTGATAATTATTTGTATTTTATCCTCAGCTTTCAAGCATTATAACACCTAAAATGTATTACAAGACATTATTTAGACAACAATTGTTGATTTTTAGATAATAACATGAGTGACGAATTAGCTCTTTTAAAAATATTCTTTACATTTACTGATACGCAGAATATAATTCTTCCTTAACATTGCTTGCCCTTGAACCCCTCAAAAAGTATTCTTCCTGATCAAATGATGACAATTCAATTTAAATACCTGGGCCAATGGGCCATCATCCATGACAGTAACAAATAGTGTTGAGTGACATTGTCATGTTTTGCATGCCATCCTAGATTGAAAGCAGAATCAACGCATCCAAATATCCTGTGAGCTAAGATCAACCCCTAATCCCTGTCTGCATTAATGGATTAGTAGTGGTAATGTAATACCTTTGTCTGTTAGCTTGTTAAGAGGAGATGCATGTGCAAAGAAAGTGGGGAAGAAGTAATCAATGATTTCCAGAAAGAGAGGTTTGGTGACAGCGCTGATCACATGGGTTCTGTGGATACTTACACCCATGGGAATGTGTCATGGAGTATTTTTCTGTTCTTGTTGTTCAAATTTAAAAAAAAAATGTACATGAATTGTCCTTAAGCTTCCATGTCACAAACGTACAGCCCTGGAAAAAAAATCATTAGAAAACCTCTATTTGGCGACAAAGATGGAGTGATGACTCCACTATTTGTGAAACTTGGACAAAATTATTATGAAGACCTAATTCATGATGAATGCACTACTACTCCTTTATTCAATAATGTACATGTACAGTATACATGTAGGTCAACTACCCCTATGATAATTACCCCCAGGACAATTCTCTTACAAGCCTACATGTACTTTTGTACCATCGCTGTATTAGCAATACTGCCTACACATGGCAATGTACCGTAATTGGATATCCCCAGTGATTCAGAACGATTGGTGTCTGATTACAAGGGGGGAAGTGTTGAATTTCACAAGATCATATGTACGTGTGTACATAAATACAGATATATCAAAATTAATCCCATGTAATCCAGGGGCAGTACTATTCGGGAAGGGGGGGGGGTTGGGTTAAGTGAATGGCATTTGTTTTTAAATTTTATAGCCCTAATTTCTCTGATACGTACTACTACGCATGTGTTCTGTGCTTCACTATTATACTGTAAGTACAGTAGGTCATACATGTACCTATAAAGTTCATTTGCTGCCAATAAAGACTGGTTTTCACTATTGTATGGGGGCAATAAATTCTCCACCAACACTGTATGTCCAAAGTTTCAACTACTGTATGTTGGCCTTCCTAGTTCCAGTAAGTTCCTACATTGTAAATGCTTACTTTGTAATAAATTACCCACAACTAATAAACATGTACATGTACATGTACATATGCAAATGTTTATTTTGCCAATGTCTACAATCCTGTAATTGAAAATGATTTTTTGGGGTTTTTTTTTTTTTTTTTTTTAGCTGCTGCTGCTGGTCATACAGTACATTGTACATGTAGTCAACTATTAAAAAGTAATCCGTACACACATTTTTGTAATAAAGAGGTAAAAATATTTACATTTTTATTAATTCATTTATTCATCATTTAAAAAATACCTTTTATTTATTCATTTGTAAAAATCTTGTTATGCATTCGTTTAGTCATTCATCAAAGAATATATTTATTTATTAATTAGTTATTTTTTTAAATTCATTTTAATATATTTTATTTCTATTTTGTTTTGTGGCTGCAGTCTCTACAATTTACAGATCAAGTAGACCTACACTGTGTAATAGTATTGTCAATCTGGTTTTTATTTTCATTATCTAGAACCGGGAGGCTGTGAATGACCCTGTAAACTTTGCAGCCGGTGAGAGCGAGCTCAAGAGAATATTCTGGCATGATGTCAAAGCTATGGATAATGACATGCTAAGAACTGGTAAGTTTTAGTTAACCCTGTAAGTTGGGGCTCCTGATCGGATCGGAAGATCAGAGCGACACCCTCGCACGTACATGTATGACGGGTATGGGAATATCGATTCTGTTTAATGATGAAAATTTCAAGTTTTGGGCTATCAAATGCTCAAAAAAATTTAATGGCTGGAATTATTTTGTCATTTGGAGTTGTTGTAGACCATGTTTGTTGATATTTGGTGCCTTTTCATGACTTTGAAATTAGTAATATTGGTCTAAGAGCAGAGGCAAAACATGCGGGCCGCCATCTTGGATTATAATGTAGATATGCATTAATTTTTTGAGCATTTGATAGCCAAAAACTTAAAAAATTTTGTCATTAAAAAAAAAAAATTCTGCTGATTTTTTTCCAATCATTTCAATTGATCGGCGATCGGAAATTATTATTCGATCACCCCTGATCAGATCGGTATCGGCGGCCGATCCAATGATCGTTTACAGGGTTACATTTACCTATCCATCAATCGTCATGGCAACCATTGTACACTATCTGTAATGACAAGGAGGAATTCTTTAATGAGATTTTATATTCATCTTTGCACACATGTATCCTTCAACGTGCCACTGTACTGTTTATTTTAATTTTTATTTAAGCTGTATACAGATGTAATTAGTATTTAAAAGGCAATCTACAAAATACAAGCCTAGCTTTTTACTAGATTCCCTTAATATATATTTCACTACAAATATTTTCGTCTAATTTCAGTTTAAAGGGATCCGGTAACTCTGTCTCAGATTTTGAAACAAAATTCTGGATTTAGCTCATTATCCAATGATAATTATAAACCTTTAGGTCAGTCAGGAACCCCATGACTTTTACAAGCTGATCGCCTGTCTGATTATCAAGATATTTATTATTGGAATTACAAATTTTGAAAACTGTTTGCCAAACGGTTTTCAAAACACTACAGTCTATTGGGGAAAAAGGGGTATGGTAAAACTGGTCACTCAAAGATTTTTACTTTTTTGAGGCACTTCTTTATCATTTTGAAGCGCAATTTTTTGAGGGCTTCAATATTACACCATATCACAGACACTGATAACACGTAGGACCGTGTATCTCAGTGTTAACATTGTTAAACGATCCCTTTAAATACCATACAAATTACAATGTATTTATATCTTTGTATGTTATACATGTAGGCCTACATGTATTAACTGTATTATTACTTTCATGGCTTGATATCATTGCATGTAATTTGTATACTTTTTGAAAGATTGATTTTCTTCATTCCTATTGTTTAGTGCTTATGTACACAGTACATGTACATGTACATTACATGCTCATTGTAACGACTGTTAACGTGAAATATGAACTAAACTAAACTCAAACTGAAACTAGACTTTAATTTGTCACTTTGACGAATTAGGTGATACGTATGCTCATGATTCACATAATGAAGAATGCATTTTCACGATGTCATATTGCTATATAAAATGCTTCTCCCATTATGATCTATCCATATGTCAAGTTTCTACTGTTTAGCCTTGATCATTATGGATGTATGAAGATATATTGAGAAAATTTGACCATTGACCCTAATTAACATAATGAGGCCTACACATACACATTACATATTCCATGGTAAGAATGAAGTAAGCGAGGGAAAATGAAGGCAATGACAAACAAGTGAGAGAAAGAATATGGCCGGGTTCAAATAAAGTTTCCGTTAAATCAGACCCAGTACTGAGGATCTTTTTAAGTGCCATGTTTTCGTTATTTGACGGCTTTTGACGCTACATAGAAATGCCGTCTTTTGTCACCAAATATTGTTCAAATAGCATTGTAGAGACGATGAACACTAATGCAAAGTCGTAAGCCATGAGAATGTCAATTTCTATCTCATTCTGCTAAATAACCCGAAGTCCCGAACAATAGAATCAACCAAGTGGAATCAACTGTTCCACGAATTTATCATGAGTTCTGAAATTTCAATTTGTTACTGCACGTCATAATAGTATTAAAGAGCAGCAAAGGCGAACGATTGTCGCTAAAATTCAGAAATTGTTGCTTAGATTGCTTAAATTACCATGAGACATCAGGCTTCATAGAACTATGATCGACACACATGATATTGTTTTGAAAACAGTCTGAAAAATTGGAGGTAGAATGAATAAGAGATAATGTGGTCATGTTAACAAGTGCATTATGTCCATGTTAATCCCCTAGTTCCAAAATCATGATTGTATTCTCTATTTATTTCTCCTATATAATTTATTTCAATTTAAAATAGAAATTCTAATGTTCTTTCTTTTGGCTTGATAATATTTCACCAACGAATTGACATTTTTGGTAGACATCTTGGATGTATCATAGCAATAAATTCTTGGCACATGACGCATGGTGTATACGATAATAATGATAAGAAAAAGAAGCATACAAATAACTATAAGAATAATAACAATAACACATACTTATTATAATAATGATTATAATTACGATATTTACTATAATAATAAATATAACAATGACAATAATGATTATTATGATACTGCTGATATTACTACAACTACAACTACAACTACTAAGAAGAAGTAAATGAAGAAAAAGGGGTAGGAGAAGAATCATTTCAGCGATATTAGTGAGTATATTCTCAATGATTAAGGCATACACGTGCATACACTTTACATATTCCGTGGTAAGAATGAAGAAAGCGAGGTAAATTGAAGGAAATGACAAACGAGAGCGACAGAGAGAGAGAGAGACAGAATATGGCAGGGTTCAAATTAAGTTTCCTTTAAATCAGACCCAGTACTGAGAATCTTTTTATGTGCCATGTTTTCGTTATTTGACGGCTTTTGACGCTACATAGAAATGCCGTCTTTTGTCACCAAATATTGTTCAAATAGCATTGTAGAGACGAAGAACAATGATGCAAAGTCGTAAGCCATGAGAATGTCAATTTCTATCTCGTTCTGCTAAATAACCCGAACAATAGAATCAACCAAGTGGAATCAACTGTTAAACGAATTTATCATGAGTTCTGAAATTTCAATTTGTTACTGCACGTCATAATAGTATTAAAGAGCAGCAAAGGCGAACGATTGTCGCTAAAATTCAGAAATTGTTGCTTAGATTGCTTAAATTACCATGAGACATCAAGCTTCATAGAACTATGATCGACAAACATGATATTGTTTTGAAAACAGTCTGAAAAATTGGAGGTAGAATGAATAAGAGATAATGTGGTCATGTAAACAAGTGCATTATGTCCATGTTAATCCCCTAGTTCCAAAGATCATGATTGTATTCTCTATTTATTTCTCCTATATAATTTATTTCAATTTAAAGTAGAAATTCTAATGTTTCTTCTTTTGGCTTGATTATTTCAGCAACAAATTGACATTTTTGGTAGACATCTTGGATGTATCATAGCAATAAATTCTTGGCACATGACGTATTGTGTATACGATAATTATGATCAGAAGAAAAAGCATACAAATAACTATAAGAATGATAATAAAAAATAAGCTTTATAATAATGATTATAATTACGATATTTACTATAATTATAAATATAACAATGATTATTATGATACTGCTGCTATTACTACTCCAACTACTACTACTAGGAAGTAGAAGATGAAGAAGAACGGGGAGGAGGAGAATTGTTTCAGCGAAATTAGTGGATATATTCTCTATATAATTATGATTGAGGCATACACTCAAATTTAAATTATAATCAAACAGGCATCTGAAGTTTTTAGATGCTTACTATTTGCTTCATGTTGTTGAGAATCACCCCCAGGTGGATCGCACCCTGCTTCCCTGAATCAACAAACAAACTTTGAGAAAAGATTTTGTCTCCCTTTAATTCAAAGTCGTTTTACAAACTTTTGACCATCGAATAATACCCGCATTCATTCAGGCTAATTGTTTATCGTGTATTTTGTAGAAAGATACAAACCCTCGGGTAATTTAAATAACGTTGGAAATTTGGAATTGAATTGGGGCCTTGAGCAAAGAATACACGTTAAGATGACCAAAAGTGCGAGGTAGTTTCCACTGCCCGTGGGATCATAAAATATGTCATCTAAATCGTTTGCCTGTAGGTCTGGAGTATCAAAGGTCGATAAATTTAAGATCAGACCTGCGAAGGGTCATTTTATCCAATTTTGATCTGACAAATTTAAAGCATAAAAAAAATCAAAAGCAGTAAGAGAAAAGACATCTCCAAGTCTCCAGAGGTAAGACAATTAATGACGAGCACAATTGAAGACCAATCTAAGACGCGTTTATAGTGACGGCAGACTTCTGTGGGACGTTTCAAATTGTACTGCGATCATTTGAGTTCGATCGTCATCACAAGTGCATGTAAAAACTGAAGTTTGATTTGGACTCGTCGTCTTTGACCACAAACTTCGTCATGATCCCGTCAACAAAATGGAAAATAAATGTCACAAGTAATTAAAAAAAATAACCTCAGCAACAACACAATAATTTTTTTTGAGAAATTCGAATAAAGATGAACGATATATGGTCCAACGTGCATTGTCATTAATTACTTAATCAATTAAAATTAAAAGTTTTGACTTGAACGAGCAATATGATGATATCGGAAAATCCGATAAGCCAAAAAGATGTATGGAATAATATATACAACTCATACTTAATCCACTTATTAAAAGAAATTGGATTATCCGGGCACTTATAGAAATCTTGAGATATCCTGCAAACAAAATCGAGGAAGAATAATAGGAAGAATAAAAATCTTGACGAAATCAAAAGGTGATACGTAGACTTCGTACGTATCACCTAATGATGATTCCTTCAAAACTTGCAATTTCAACTTTCGATTGAAAATTCTGATATGATCCCAACATCTGATTGAAAAACAAAGTTTTATAGCCCATGGTCTCAGCTATAACATACCCAAATTTGGGAAAAAACAGAGCACAAATAAGATAGATAGTGCTCAAAGATGAATGTCATGTTGATTCATGATGTGAACAAAATTCACCTTCCATAGACATAACACGCAAATGACGAAAATTCTGACATGTGGCCTTTAGTCGAATTTTGTACTATGATGAAGTCATATCAAAATTTAGAAGGAAATCAATGAATATTGAGAGCAATACACACATTTTTTCATAAATATAATGACGTCATAATAAGCATTTTTGTATTTTGACTTCCAAGGCCATTATGATGACGTCAAGATGTACTTAATGGCCAAATGAGATATGAAATCATATCTCCGACTCATACCCTATCTAAATATGAAATACAAATTGGCAGTCCTTATTCATCCCAATGGACTTTTTATAGGCATGTTTTTGCCCATATCGTCCCTATTTTCACGAAGTGACGGTAGTGAGGAAAATCGTAACGCAAAGTGAATGCAAATATTGATCTTAATCATGATAATTATGAATGAGAAATTCCTTTCCGTTATGAAGATATGATCATAAGTTGATTTTCACAAAATGGCGCCTGGATGACGTCATGATAACTTTGAGTCTTTCAAAAGTCACGCAGTTTTAAGTTAGACTAAGATCTGTCATTATTGAAAGTTTCATGACAATGGCTTTATTCAGTCTTGAGATATCCTGCGACCAAAATCGAGGAAGAATAAAAAGAAAAATCTTGACGAAATCAAAAGGTGATACGTAGACTTTGTACGTATCACCTAACTAGTACAATAATAGTGATATGACACCGAGCGTCTAAGATGTGAAGTGGAAAATACATACAGCTATCGTAAGCCTGTGGAGATAGAGTTTGACCAGTTGACAGTACATGTTTAGATCTGGCAGTGTCTCATCAGTTCATTTAATAATTGGCACTGCCATATTAGAGTGAGGTACAAAGAATGAAGGAGTAGCATATCCTGCTGTGATTCCTGTCATATAAGACGTGTGTGTGTGTGTGTGTGTGTGGGGGGGAGGGGTGTCTGATGTGACTGTACAGGATTTTATATTTATTTTATTCTCATATGGAAGCCAAAATGATAAAGAGTGTAGTCTTCGAGATTAAATTTTCCTTTTAAGCTCTCTGGAGGCAAAATTAGACAAGATGAAATATGTGATTATTTAAATTTGTGGTTAAATACCACAAAGCTGCTATAATGGAGAGAGGAATTAGAGGAAACCGAGAGTTTCAGGAAAAAAGAATTAAATAAATGAGGAGATATTCTGGAATATGTTTAGTACTGAAGATTATGGAGTAGATGTGTGACTGTAGGAAATGAGCAGGTTTTATCAAGTTTAATCAAGTTCATTGTATGATACAGTTGGTGAAATATCAGAGAGACTGATCAGTTAAAGTTCAAGATTTATCTTTGAAAAAAGAAGAAGATATTTAGGTTACCGGTATTGAATGTCCAATTCAAAAGGAATATTAAAGTAAAGTATAGTAAAATATGAAATTGACATCTCTTGATTCAGTCATAGTTGATGGGTTGTTTCGGGAGGGTAATGTAAGTTTAACTTACTCCAGAGCTGAAAAAACTGAGAACAAAGACAACACCACTAATTAAATACCCATAAGATATTGAATGTGATACACAAATAAAGGAAATAATATCAAATTGACAACTCTTTCGTTGTTCATTGATACATGTATAGGTCCTGGTGAGAGGGGGATGGCTCTCAAGCTTAGAGGGGGTTGTAACATGTACTTGTATGAGAGGGAAATGAGAGTTAAACTTACTCTAGAGCTTAAAAAGACTAAGAATAATAATTAATTAATCTTGATAAAGATAACAACACTAATTAAATGTCACTAAATTTAACTGTTTGGTGTTTCATGTGTAGGTCCTGGTGAGAGGGGCGTGGCAGTCAAGCTTACTCCAGAGATGAAGAAAACAGAGAAGAAAGACACCAGTGCCAACGGGTTCAACGAAAGGGTCAGTGACATGATCTCAATGGACAGAGCACTTCCAGACATCAGAAACCCAAGGTTTGTAGTTCTTAGCAAACAATGCCTAATCGGTGCCTGTTGGTCCCCAATAATCCTCTTTTTCTTATGTTAATTGAGAGCTGATTTGATGAGATAACCACCTGTCAGATGGTCTAATCCCTCCTGGCCAAACTAGTGCAGATATGCTTTAAACAATGTCTTTGAAAATTCTTTTCTGAGATCATTTTGTGTGCTCTCTACCTCGTAATAGGCCAGTTTCGTAATGTATTCAGAGACCTTTAAATCGCATTACGTAATCGGAGGGTCGGACAAGCAGAACTCGCGGTGCGTAGCAGACTACACTTTGCGTGCATACCATACATGACTGTGTTCGCCCAGGTGTGATTGTATCGTTTGTTTTTGCCATTTTGAGAGAGAGAGAGTGAAGAAAAAGGAGGCAGTTTCAAACTTGAATAATAAATATCTTTGAGATGTGATTTTGTTCTTCATACATTTGATCTTTAAAATCGCTGAGTCTTAGGCAAGAATAATAGAAAAGCATTGCTGGTACAGAACTAGTGATTCACATCTTGCAGCTAAACCTGTTCGGCCAAGTCCCCGGTACAGGCACCGCACGATACCCCCTCAAAAAGAAGAAAAACGAGGTCGATGATACAAGCGACATTGGCTTGAAAGCCAGTGATGAAACAGAAAGCGAAGCACCAAAATATAAGTTAGCTAGCCGATATCGGTAATTTCCATTCAATTTTGCATTTACCTTAGCTTGAATCTGAGTACAAATTTGGACGTAGAAATGAAAGAAGTGATGAACTATTTTCCACTCGTTCGCACACACAGTCACCTCTGCTTGCAGAAGCGTGCGCGCGTACCACGTGTTCGTGTTCGTGTAGGCGCGATTCACATTTTCAAAATGAAAACAATTTTACGGATTAAAAAATGTTTGTGAAACGCCTCGATACGGATTATTTCAAGGCGGACAAGAAACGGCTAACGAGAAGCAAGCACTGACCGCAGAATCAATATTATTAACAAAAGCAACGAGAAATAATTAAAATAAAGGTAACTATAAGGTCTTTGTTAATAAAATAATATTTATGAAATAATATCGTCCGATGACAGAGAGCTAGAATTAGAATGATGAATAATGATAAACAAATAATTTTGAACGGCAAAAATGAAGAAAAACAATGAACAAGCAAAAAGAATGATAGAGCAATGGAAAAAGGGAATAATAAAAGTAATAATAAAAAACCTTATGATGGCAAGGAAGAAGAATCAGGATGATGAATAATTTTATTGTTTAGAATAAGATTAGGAATTAAGTTTGATTTTCATAAAATAAAAGTTAATAGTATTAGACTGCAATTATGCCGGACCTTCGTTATTCAACTTCAAGAAGAAATTATTATTATTTTAAAAAAAAACATTTAAAAATAAAATTGTTATTACATTTTCTATTAGATCTAGTCTAGACTTCTACTTTTTATTTGTTTATTATTTATATATTTTTTCTTTTTGTTCAAGTTGGTATGTTCTGTCTTTTTGCGTCGGTTGGACCTGTATAATCTAGTCACAAGTCGCTATCATGAGCTGAGCTGCCGAGAGCTAACTAGAGGGGGGATTGTACTCGAGCCTCTCCAGGCCACATAATCTATGGCCATCGGGAAATATCAATCGAAGTCTTCAAAACTCTTAAAAGCCTTCAGTTTTCGACGATCATAAATGCATGGTCCGCCATATTCTCTACTAGATAATTGAATACGTCATAGGTCCCAAAGTCAGGAATATCGTCAAACTTAAGGGAGGTATATATGTAACTAGTTCACTTAACGAAAATCCTGCCCGTTGTAATTTCCCCATACAGTCACGTCTACCGAGTGACACGGACCCCGTAGGTCAGGGGCTACGGGCAGGCTAGTCCGCTACTGCGGACGCTAATTTAACGAGTCTTTTCTCGGGTGTATACCGTAGTCGAAACTCCTCTTTTTCTTAGAAATTATTGCAGCTGCCTGAAACTCAGCTTGATGAATGGCAAGTTGGAAGATATTTCCGGCCAAAACAGAAATTCATATATACACTGTATACACGCAGTTTTGATAGAAAGATATGAATGCAATTTCACGGCAAGAACCGACAGTCTAATACACAATGCACAGATTCAAAACGGTGATTTGACAAAGCTTGTCGGGCTTGGTTACAGTAACCGCGCATTACGTAACCGCCGAAACTGGCCTATTGGTCTGGTGTTAATAAGTAAAAAAATATGACAAGAGTATTCATTGGATAGAGCATTTTGATACCAGAAGTGATAGAAACTAAATGCTGAATTCATATTTTATTTTGAGATCCAATATAGTGGACTCATTCTGGTAATGCAGGTCTCAATTGGCAGGGCACTATCTGACATCAGCAACCTAACGTGTTTTTTCTATTGTACAACCAAATCAGAAACACACATTCAGTTGGTGATACATGTATCATATTATTAGAAGTCGATGAGAATCATGCTGATTCTTTCAACTCTTATAGATGTACATAAATCAAACCCGGACACATTTGAAAGCATTTAAAATTGTTTTGATCAATTGTAGAGGCATGAGAATATTCTCACTTTCCCAAGAGCTGCAATGACATTTGTTGAATTATTTTTCAGAAATATGAAAACCATCAATTATATTGATAGGTGTAATAAAAGACAATAAAACAGTCGTAAAAGCTGTAATGAATACTCAATTGAGATCTAGAATGTATTTGGAAGAGGTATTTCATAATGATAAGTAATTGCTTTATGGTTGTCATATTAATGTCAGGACAGAACATAAATCCTTGGGTTAGAAGTCGAGCCTAGCCTTCAATGTCAAGGTCTGTCTGTTTTAGACAGCAATGAAATGTTACCCTCTCCATCAATCAACTTAATGAATTAAGTTTCGCTTGTCTAATTGCAGATGATATATAGTCCAATAAATGTCTGGTTGTGTAGCTCGTAAAGATCAAAGCAAACAATGTGTACTTGAGATATGCTCTTCACCCTACAACCCATGATCATGTGGAGTGTTTATTATTATTTTCACTCTCTCTCCATCAAATATACTCAATTCTATGATTATGTACTTTGACAGCTTTGAAAAAGAACTGTACGCAGATTTATACTGCAGAATATGATACAAAAAAGACCCTGTGCAAGAATTGAATTGAATTGATATATTTCCACATTCTCGATTGTATACAGAAAACAGAAAATGACAATAGATAAATGTTGAAACACAAAGTTGAAAGATTAATGTGTTGCATAGTTAAAGAGAAAAGCAGGCGTAAGTTATAAAAAAGTAAAGTTAAGTATAGGGGCCATTCTTTAATGCATGGTTGTGTAAATACTCAATTGAAACAACTATTTTGATGTGGAATCACATGTTTATTCTCTCTCTCTCATTCTCTCTCTCTCTCTCTCTCTCTCTCTTTCTCATCTCTAGGTGTAAGGAAATCACATATCTGGCCAAGCTGCCCAACGTCAGTGTCATCATCCCGTTCCACAACGAAGCCCTTTCCACCCTGAAGCGAACCGTCCACAGCATCTTCAACCGCTCACCACCAGAACTCATCCATGAGATAATCTTAGTTGATGATTTCAGTGACAGGGGTAAGTTATACAATCCTCTATGTTATAACCCTTCCAGAAACGTAATACCATGTATAAGGTCAAAGCCAGTTTAGGCTCGTTTTGAAGGGAGAGAAGTGAAGGAGTGTTATTTCTTCTTCCTCCTCTCTTCTCTTTGTCTTCCTTCTCCTGTTTTCTGTCTCCATCTCTCTCTCTCTCTCTCTCTCTCTCTCTCTTTCTCTCCTTCTCTATTTTTCTCTCTCTATTTCTCTCTCTCTCTCCCTCTCTCTCTCTCTCTCTCTCTCTCTCTCTCTCTCTGTTTGTCTCATCCTATACATGTAGCTGATAATGAGAGTAGCAGAGAAAAGCCACACAATCTCAAATTAGCCTTGCATCATGTACCGTATACAAGTTAATAAATCCAATATCGACTTATGGTGGAGAGAGAGAAACAAGAAGTGGAGGAAAATTTTTTTTTCTCTCTCCAATCCTCTTTGTCTCTAATCTGCTCATTAGCACACATTTATAAGATCATGAATGATTAGCCTGTCAGAAATGTAATATGGTGTATAAGGTCAAAGCCAATTTGGAATACTTAAGAAAGAGTCGGTAGAAGAGCACCATATACCATGTACAAGTTGAAATCCAAATATCAACTTACGGTTGGAGAGAAAAGTGGAGGAATGTTAATTCTTTCTCTCCAATCCATTCTCTCTGGCTTGCCTCTCCACTTTGTCTCTAACCCGCTCATCGGCACACCTCATTCATAAGATCATGAATGATTAGCCTGTCGGAAATGTAATAAGGTGCATAAGTTCAAAGCCAATTTGGAATACTCAATGAAGAAATGGTATTAATTTAAGAGAGGAGAGCCAGTAAATTTTTCATGCCAAAAAAATTACCCTTTCTGGCTTTCCACTTTGTTGAAGGCAAGCTGCTTCGTATATTGTGTATTATATTGAATGATTTTCAACTACGGTATAATCAAGTAGGCTTTATATAATACATTACATAATGAGTTTTCAAGAGTTGATTTTTACTTATTACTGACCTGTATAAATATGTGTATCATCACTTTGCTTTATTTTTCACTTTTTGATGGAAAGTTTTATGAAGTTAGAAACTCTTTTTCTGATGTAGGGGGTAGAATTTTTTGTATACAAATACAAACCTTTGTTAATATCTTCATCATCTCGAGATTACCAAATAGCTCGCTTTTTCTGATTTGGGAAATAATCCCGAAGTTACAAATCGCGTCTTCATTAGCTCGAGACTAGACCTTGAAACTCGATCATGAGAAATTAGCTCAAGATGTTTTGCTCAGCGTTGGCGCATAGTGCGAGTCTTCGGTCTGGTGAAGACGCACCGGATAAGTAGCAGGATATTTGGCTGATATCTCGAGCTAGTGAAGACGGGCCTAATGTAAGCATACAAAATGTCCCATACTGCATGTGGTTTCCAATATTTAAGTTAACAAAAATATGAATTCCACCCTCACATAGCATTCATAATCATGGGCCAGAAGCTCTTATGAAATTGCATGTGGTATGCATCAATTGTTTTCCTTTATTGATTATTATGTGTAAGTGGAAAAATGCACACACAAAATTAGATTAAAGAAATACTTTCTGCACCATATGCTATCGTTATTCATTTCATCCAACCATGAAAGCAAACAAGATTGCCGTCTTGGATCAGCTAATTGCTGTTTTCATAGAATCCAGTATTTTTTAATTTAATTTAGTCATACATAATATCCAGAGTCTGGTGGGAGCGCACATTATATCATAATGTGAAATGCTCCATACTGTTCAAGATTATTAGTACTTTCATTAATATTATTATTATTATTATTGGATTTTAAATGGATGCTTGGATCTACAACCTGTTTCAATTTTGTTACAAAATATCTGGTGTTGAAAGCCATAAGAACATGAGTTAACTCTATTTTGGTTCTGAAAAGAAACAACCTACTCTCTAGGAATATTATATGAAAATAGGATGTTTTGTAAGCTCTTTGCATAATATTGCTGATCTAATTTGCATAATAAAAGCATTTCTGCAGAGCAAGCAACATAAAATCTTGCAAACTGTGTTTATAATGCCTAGTGGGGACAATAGGCCTGTCCTCATTAGCTCGAGATTGCCAAATATCCCGCTATTTGAACTATCCCGATCGCAAATTATCTAGTTAATTTGCGTCTTCATCAGCCCAAAGTTGCAATTAGCAGGATATTTGGTTGAGATAATCATCCCAAGATATCTTCGGCTAGTTTGCAAAATATCGTGCTATTTGGCAAAATATCGGAACTAGCGGGCTATTTGGCAATCTCAAGCTGATGAATACAGGCTTGTGTACCCTCTTCCCCTCAATGGTCGATGTAGTCATTAAGTACAAGGCCTTGCATAATACATGCGAGATGAGCTTTTTTATCTGGGCCAGAACCCATAAACCATCCATAAGTAAAGTAGTAAACACAGTCTGTGTCACTGCAAGTGCGAAGTTAAAAGTGGCGATAGATCGGAAGCCATTATTTCAAGTCATGCCGTAATGATATGCAAGTTCACTGCAGATGTCAAATTTGACTTTTTTTTTATTTTCATGTTGGGGGGGGGGTGGAGGTATTAATTTGTTTCAGTCTATTAATTTTGTTTTAGTTTATTAATTGATTAGCAGAGTAATTTTATCTCAATAGTCAGTTCATATGGGGATCAGCTGTTTTAGAGTTCCCTGCCCCCGGTGGTGTTACTTTGTATACAAAGGTGTAGTGCATGACCCTTTGAAAACAAATTTAAAAATTACGCCCTATTTTGCACAATATAATATACTCTCTAACATTTCATACCAAATATGACTCCTTTTTTGCATGAAAATTGGTACAAAGTAGGCTTTTCACAGTAAATCTATTTTTGGCTTAAATTAAGTACAATCACAAAATACAATGTTTTTGTTTAAAACTATGTACCTATGGTACACATTTACATGATTGCAAACTTTGCGAAGATCATGAAAATGTGACCTTTCTTTATGAAATTTTGTACTCTTTCTAAAGCATACCCGTTTTTCAAATCCAAAACAAAAGAATATACATATTTTTTTCAAATCCATGGAGATCCCCCAAATTACAACTTTGTACATACAAATCCTCACTATCATGCAGACACTCTGCTCTCCCCTCTTTCTTTCTTTCTCTCTCTCTCTCTCTCTCTCTCTCTCTCTTATTCTTTGTCTTCTCAATCTGTTTTCCTTCTTCTCCTCTGTTTCATTCTTTTTTTTGTATATCTCTCTATATATATTTCTCTTTGATGTTTTTCTCTTTGTTGTTTTTCTCTTCCTTCTCTTACTCTCCTCCCTTTCTCCATCCTTGCCTCTCTGTCTTTCCTTTTCTCTTCTTTTCCCTTCCATCGTATTTCAACCCTCTCCGCAGTAGAGTAAATGAGCACAAACAAATCTGCATCCCACCAGGTGGCATAATGGGCAATACAAAAGTATGATTTACAAAAAAGTGAGAAAAACCCCCAGAAAATTATGTCATTTCAGCAACATTTTTAAATCACTGGTACTGAATTAGAAATAAACCATGTTTGAATTTTTTTTTTTTTTTTTTTTTTTTTTTTGGGGGGGGGAGGCAATTGCCCCGTAGACCCCCCTCCTCCCCAATCAGTACGCCAGTGCCTCTCCCTTTCTGATTTTGTCATTTTCTTTATTATGCATCTTAAATTTGATATGCATCAATCAATATAATTTCCCAGCTATAACAGATGTTCAAGTGTAAATAAATCTTTGATATTTACAATGTAATCACCCTTTTTTAATTTGTAGTGTAGGCCTACCTTTGTGTAACATCCCATATTACACAAAATCAGTGTTGTAGGCTGTTCTTATTTCAGCCTGGATAAACAGAAAAAAATTGATTTTATGCCAGGGCAAACAAGGAGAATATTGCACTGGTGCTCTTGTTTGTTTTACAAGTACATGTGGTTTCACACTGATATTTTCCTAGCACTTCTTCTACATGTATGTGTCATGAATTATACATGCATCTGTGTCTATGATAAGATCTACAAAGTTATATCTGGACTACATGTTTGCACTTTTATTATTTATTCACCTTTTTGACAAAACAAACAGCACATTTCAGAGCTTTTCTTTTTAATCATATGTGGATAAAATGGTCTTTCATCTCGAGGCATTTATAGAATATCCCTGATATTACTTGCAAAAAAAAAAATCAATATTTCAAAATGTTAACATTATTAACTCATAACAAAATATCCTCACTTAAAATTTGATTTGATTATGATTTGATTAAAGATAAGATACATGTAGCGTGTAGACTAAATTCTGAGAGAGAGATAAATCCTTCTCAAAATGTAAAAGGTCATTACTAAATGAGGTTGCCAACAAAAATAGACAGTTTTCATTTTGAATCATTGTATTTGGTTTCACATTGTTTAAGCTCATGTTAGTGTATGAGTAATGACACTTTGATTGACCAAGAATTTGCCACACAGCGTGAGATTATCAGTTAGTATCAGATCTGCATTATGACACACTCTATGTCATCTTGTTTGTTGTAAAAGTTCTTGAATTTCAGGAAATTTCCATTTTTTTCTTTCTATTGTCATCCGAAACTCCCTTTGTTAGTTCTGATTAATGGATTATTTGATAGCCCTAATGGGCTTACTTGAACTATGGCTGAGCAAAAGAGAAAATAAGTGAGTATTATTCACTCAGATTGAATCAAGTGATACAATCTCAGAACAAGGCAGGAGCGTGAATAGCTAGGATTAATGATGGCATGTAGTTTCGACTGAAGGAGGGGTTTTAATCAAACAATCGACATCCAGGGCAGCGTGTCACAAAACCATTATAAGTACAAGTTCACCAACAACTTGTTTTTACATGTACGGTCTTGGTGATACTTTATTGCCATTTTCCTTGCCCACATATGCTCTTTGTCCCTTTAACAAACTGAATATGACCAATTAGAATGTTGTTATTATTCATTCATTTATATATTTACTTTTTGCAGGTGTGACAATGTAGTTAAATTCGTCAAGTACTATGCCAGAGATAAATTAGACTGGAGTCTACAGAAAATGTATGATATCTTAGAATTAACTTGTATCCAATGGTTGAAATGATCTTGATGTCATCATTAAAAGTGTATTGTACGATTGTACCAATATGTATACATGTACATGTATATGGCATGGTACTCAGTAAATATAAAGCAATCTATGTATTGTCTTCATGGAATTCCTACCCATTGTAAGCTCTCATCAGCTATTGAAATCCAATAATAGACTTGGATATTGGTTCACTTTCAAGCAATATAATTTTCCTGTGTATTCCAGCAACTGTGCCAAGGGCATCAAATTAATAATTTCCTCCCTGAGTTATCTGGTCTCCCTTGAGGGTTTGATCCAGGTAGGGCCTGTTAGGGCTTCCCCCAAAAGAACCCCTCAGAGTTCGTCATCATTTATAGTTTAGGACAAGTTCATTTGAATGTGACTGCATGAGAAACATGTTTAAAGATAAAGTTTGAGTTTTGGTTGGTCAAGTGGTTTGCATGGTGAGAGAACCTGACTGGAAACCATTAAGAAAGGTTGATTTTTTAGTATGTATGAATTGGTATATACAGTCAAACCTGCTTTAGCGACCACCTGTATAGAAAGACCATATTCCCCCCCCCCTTGAAAATGGTTTCTCATTGAAACATGTACTAAAAGAACATGAACATAAAGACCACCTGCACATAAAGACCACTCACCTATAAAGACCACTTTTCTTTTCATCCTTAGGTGGTCTTTATGAAAAGTTTTCACTGAATATACTGTTAGACTTTGGAAATTGGAATCATCAAAATGACGGGAAAGTTACTCAGTTTTGCTGAAAGTCTTGCACTGCACACAAAGGGCATATGGGACTACACACGCATGTGAGATAACTGTGTGGTTCAAACAACTTAATTTTTGCAGATAGTCCTTTTCAGGGGACATTTTTGCTATATGATTATTCTCCCAAATAGACATTATAAAGAAAACGAGGAAACTCACATTTTTTCTTCACATTTCCCAGACCTCAACCTTCTCTCTAAGGAGTAGAGTTTCTATCATTTCACATTGTCTAGGTTTGGTTTGACATGAGATAATGTATTTGATGGGTCAGGAAATTAGATACTGTATATTTAGACCGTGCTCGAATGCTCCCTGTCATCTCCAAATTGTTATAATTGGGTTTACAAGTGCATCATGCATACAGTGTATGTACATGGATGTACAACTTTCTACGGTGTAATGAAATATCTGTCAGAAACTTAACCCAAAAAAAAGGAATATAAAGTAAAGGCCATGGGGGGGGGGGGGGGGGGAGGGGAGTTCAATTTATAATGTTAGATACATATGTAACAGAATGTCCCCATTGAATATTTCTTTTGGAGCTCATGTCTGTGACTTAGGAGTCTGTTGGTGGTAAGTCTATGGTTGTAGGAATGAATGTTTAGTTCACAGGATTGACATTTGCAGAAACTTCACAGGAATTTTTTTTTTTTAAAGAGGCAATTTTTATCGCGTGAGGTTGATTCCCTCGAAAAGTGCTGCGATCTCGATTGTGTTTGTTACCAGTTTTGTCTATTGATATACTAATGATTAAAAAAGTGAGAATAACCCTAGGCTATACTGACGATTGTATGGAAAATCCAGGAATCTTGTCCTGCAATGCTTTTGAGACAATCATTAATCCTTGTGCTCTTTGTTTTATATCTTCCTGCAGCTTATTTGAAAGGCCCTCTGGACGACTACATGTCCGCTTTCCCGAAGGTCAAGATCATCCGCCTGGAGAAGAGAGAAGGTCTGATCAGGACCAGACTGTTGGGTGCCGGCCCAGCCACTGGAGATGTTGTACTCTTCCTTGACTCTCACTGCGAGGCCAACTATAACTGGCTGCCACCATTGCTAGGTGAGTGTTAAAGCCCCACTGTACTACTTGTAGCTACTTGCTCCCTCTATATAGAAAACAATGCCTAAGCGGTGCCCGTTGGTCCCCACATGATCCCCTTTTTCTTAGTTGATTGAGAGCTGATTTGATGAGATAACCACCTGTCAGTGACCACCTAGGGAGGGCTAATCCCTCCCGGCCAAACTAGTGCAGATAGGCTCTAAAGATCCATAGTAGTGGGCTTTTAATGGGGAATTCAACACTATTCGGGTGTTTACCCAATAACAGGTGTTGTCAATCATCATGATGTATTGATACCAAAAGGCCTTACCGGTATGTGTAATGCCCTGCATTTTCCACCAATCACCCCATATGGAAATTCATTATCTTTACATTTAATTCCCTCACCCAAAGACTCTCTGGGAGACTAGAGTTCATTTCTTAATGGGACTACGGGTTTGCTGTGCAAACTTGTCCCAGCCCCCCCACTCCGAGAACGGACGGACCCCATGTGTGTTGCCAAAATGTCCTTTTCGTAACAAAAGAAAAAGGTCGACCCGTATTGACTTTACACACTGGACTTTTGCTGAAAAGGGGGGGTGCTGAAAAAGGCTCGTATACAAAAGAAAAAGGTCGAGCCGTATTGACTTTACACACCGGACTTTTGCTGAAAAGGGGGGGTCGGTTGGAACACGCATATGCGTACCCTAAATAACACTGAGTGGGGGGGCCGGGAAACTTGTACACCCATTATTGGTACAATATATTTCCACCCTCTCTCTGTCTGGTTTCTGTGAATTATTTCCTGCTGCACATCAAAACTAACTACCATCTTCCTTTAAAGTACTTGAAGATGTAGCCTTTGTGGTTTCTGAACAGTAATATACATGTAAGTTACTGGTTGCTTCATGAGGCAACCTTCCTGGTACTAAGTATGAATTTAGCTCTAGCATCGATTAAGCTTTTATTCGGAATGGTACGCTTGACAACATCTTACAATTTTTACTATTATGATTCACAATTGTTTAATCAAAATTTTGTCACCATGAACTACTGCTTATGATGTAGAAACACAAGACACTCTAGAATTTTAAAAATTTAAGAAATTTGCTCTCAAAATATATACGTTTAGCAAAAGGAAAGTGAGTATACATATCATGTTGACCTTTACAGCAAAAATATCAGTCATTGACCTTTAGAGCTAAAGGCCTGAATTCACAAAGAAGGTTTAAATTTATCCCATGGTTTAAATCTTCATTTACATAACCCATGGTCTAAAATTAGCGCAAAATAAGCGCGACACAGTCAGAGGTCCAATATTAGACTCGCGCAATTTTTAACCATGGGTTATGTTAATGAGGGTTTAAACGTCCTTTGTGAATTTGGGCAAAAGAGTGTATGTATTGCATAGGTGTTAAAGATCTGGAACATGATACATTGCACATGATCCCGCCTTCCTGCCGCCAAATAGAATCAGGGCACGTTCATGCTTGATTTTGACGGCCAGAATCAGGCATCTGTTACGCGTTTAGTTTAAAACACGGTTGCGTCTTAGCTCACTTTTGTAGAATCACCGAAAAACGGCGATCACGATCGCCGATCGTAAACTCACAAAAAGATGCGTTTACAATTTGTAAACGCGTTTAAATGGGGTCAACGCACTGACCTCTAGTGGGTCTACGTAGCATGCACAGTGAAGGTTTGCGAATCCAGCTGGAAGACCAATTAAGGCCACACACGGAGAATTGCCTGGGGAGCCAGAGAAGTAAGCATGAACACTACATCGTGGAACTGCGATCACGATGAGCGTTTACGATGAGCGTTTCAGATCGCTCATTCTGCCTTCAAAATTTAAGCATGAACGCAGCCTCAGATGCACTGTACACAGAGAGTTAGACAGACATTGAGGCATCAAGTATTCATGGCCAGAATCGGAGTATGAAATGGATGTTATTATGGAGGTACACTGGAGAATATGCATCCAATTTGGTCCTAATTGGAGAACTTGAACGATAGCATTGGCCCTGCCGCGTAATTGATGACCTTGTCAGTGTCATGAGCCAGATGTAATTCCCTTCCCATTAGATGTTAAGTAGAGAGGTGGAAAATTTGCGACCGTTTATCTGGAGGATTGGTACCAATTTGGAAGAGGAAGAGGTATGAAAACCACGGCCCCTCCAATCAGTAGCATGGGGGCAATCAGAGGAACATTGAACACTTCCCCCCCCCCCCCCCGGTACTCTGTACTATATGTGACATCAGGTATATTCGTTTAATTCCTTATTGCATCATAACCACTAGAACCATAATTTTACTTGGAATCTATTTATATTGATGTACCCTCGACTCTGAGAGTTATTTGCCTTCCTACATGCGTCTAATTCTAATTACCACTGTGTGTGTGTGTGTGTGAATGAACATGTATGTGTTGTTTTGAATGGAATATTTGATGCATTAAAGCCTACCTCGTGTATGTTTGCCGGTTGAGTGGTTAAAAGAGCTTCATTAGTTACCCCATAAATAGTCAGCACTTCCCGTTTTCTGCGTGCACAAGGACAATAGCCCCGGCCCCCCCACTCAGTGTTATTTAGGGTACGCATATGCTCGTACCCTCTTTTTGAAAGCACCCCCTATCTGAGGACTGCCAACATTTCCGAACCCCCCTTTCGCGGGCTTTTCGCGGGCTTTTCCTGCCTTGGAGACCCCCCTAAATCAGGAAAAATGCTCAATGTACCCCCCTAAATTCGGAATAATTTCTCAGGAGTCCAAAGAGATGAGAGAGAAAAAGAAAGTCACCCCCTTTTTAAAGAAATCTCCGGGTGAAAAGTCAAATACACCCCCTTTTTTTAAAATCTCGGGCCGGACTTTGTCGCACAAAAAGTACCCCTTTACCGGACATTTTGGCAACACGCATGCGGTCATTCCGACCTCTGAGTGGGGGGGCCGGGACAATAGCATTACACCGACCGCTTTTGTATGTGTGTGCAGGGAATTGTGTCACACAAAAAAAAATTGTGCTGTACAAAGGAGAGCAGAAATTTGTTAAGAGACACACATAAAAACCAGTTGTTGTAATGTATATGCCTGCACAATTATGAATTAATGCATATTTCATTCACCTCATTATCATTTCTATCAGACTATCCAGTGCCTTTAATAGCCACATACACCATGGCCTCTACGGCCAAATACTGTAGTGGTGATAGCAAGAATTATGAAAAAAAATGTAAGGTACATTTGCAATGAGGTACTCCATGTGTTTTATCTTTGCAAATAATGTTGCAAGTCATAGTTTGGTATGGTGCAGGCAGCAGAGTTTTCAAGGTACTGTCCGTTGAGATGCTGCAATATTTGCTCTATCAAAGTTGTAGGGTAAGGGCTGCAAAGAGGCTTTAAGGTAGGTTTAGGGTTCGGGTTAGGGGTTGGTTAATGTTTGGTCAAAGAATGAAGCAAAGAATTTGGTTAGTGTAGGGTAATGACCACAAAGCAAGTGTTGCCCAAGGATGTGTCGTACAAGCATCCACGTGAAGAGGCCTGAGTATAACCACTTCTGCATGGAGATGTTGTCTTCAAGTGAGGTGTGCAGTGTAGGTGTGAGAACTGTCAGTGATCATCTTAGAGTCAGAAGATGATTTGTTTGTATCGATGGCAGAACCTGTGATGAGTGTTTGTGTAACCCTCTTTGTGTTTGCAAAACAACCTAGACAGGGGGCTGGGAATGTTTTTGTAGAGAGTCTGAGTTTTCCATTTGAGATCCATCTTGCCAGAAGCATAATTTGGGGTTGTCAGTCCGTCCCGCCTGTTGTCTCAATATTTGTATAAATGTCTAGGGCATGAACTTCATGCTTATACTAGCAGTATAAGCCAACATAGAGGATGAAATGAATATTGAGGATATATTTTTTTATCTTTTTCTGTTCTATCTCTTTGTTCTATCTATCATACATCTTCCCTCGTTTGTGTTTTCATTTGTAATTCCTCTCCTTCATTTTCTTGTCTAGAAGGACACTCTCTTAAGGATGGTACTTACCTGAAGATTGTTCATTTTGGACTCCAGAATTTCTATAGCAAACATATTCCAACTCATGACAAGTATTAAAAGGATAGAGGAAATATCAACACTGAATTTGCGATAACTTCCTTAATAATTAATGTAAAATGCAACTGGCATTTTATCAAATTCCCATATGCTTCAAGGATATCTTGAAATGGAGGTACAGTTTGACATCTTCATCAAAGCAATTGACATGTACACCCTGGTGTAATTGGTAAGGTGTGCCTCAGTTTCACCTCAAATACCTACGCTTCACACCTACAGCTTACAATTCAACCCACACCACGCAGGTGCATAGCAGGTAGTGGCAAGAAAGCGGTTTAGACGTGTCAATGTGACATCTCAAAGGTGTGATATAAATGTATGTATGAATCCCATCTTAGCTTGGCCGCATCCTACAGTATGTAGGGAAATATTAGTTCCTTGTTTTATACTTTTTGAGCAAGTTCAGAAGTGACAAACGCAGCATTTTTGTTTCCTCCATAACTGCTTGGCTTGTTCTTTGTTGTTCTTCTTCTCCCTTTTCTCCTTCTTCTCCTTCTTCTTCTTCTTCTTCTTCTTCTTCTTCTTCTTCTTCTTCTTCTTCTTCTGCTTTGTCTTTCTCATCATTCTCCTCCTCCTACTTCTCCTTCTACTACTACTACTTCTCCTTTCTCTTCAGCATTTTCGTTTCCTCCATGTGATTAAGTAAACTAACGGCTTGGCTTGTTCTTTTTTGTTTTTCTTCTTTCTCTATTTCTTCTTCCTCTTCTTCTTCTCCTACCTCCTCCTCCTTCCTCCTTCTACTACTACTACTACTACTACTTCTTCTTCTTCCTCCTCCTCCTCCTCCTCCTCCTCCTCTTCTACTACTTCTTCTACTTCTTTCTATTGATCCTCTTCTTTTCCTCCTCCTCCTCCTTTAGAGTTTATGGTGATGAGAAAAAAAATTAAGATATTTTGGACCATGCCTCTATACCCTAGGTAT